ACAATATGAGACGAGGGGCCATCCTACTGATCATCGGTAGTTGCTTCTGCTGCGATTGCTCCCATGTGGAGTTTTTCTTAAATGGCAAACATAATTACAAATAATATCGCCATCAAGAGCCTGGTGGACTGGCGTGACCGAACACGCGTATCCACATCTCGCAATTCTCAACAATATGGAAGATATTTTCCTAAGTCCTTGTCAAAGAGCAATGCAGAATCAGAAACCCAACAACTGCTGCTTCTTATAATCAATGCCGTGTGGCGTGTCTCGTGTACTTTCAGTCAGTTCTGACAAATGATTTTCCATAATATAAACTCAGACTATCCAGCATCTTCTCTTTCGGTCTCCCGCTGCCTCTCTTTCCCTCCGTTCTACTGATGTACTCCAAAGAATGTAGCCGTCTCATTATGATGTGGGCAATCAGTTCTCTTTGTGAGTCAGTTTCTTTCAAGACTTCTTCATTATTCTTTTTATCTGTTCAGGGTATTCTTATCATTCATCATTTTCTGCAGCTTCCATGTTTTTTAAAACTAATTGACCAAATAATTTATGAGAATCATCCCCCCCCCCCCCTCTCCCGCCCCATGTGGTATTAAATTTGTATTGCTTTGCTTTGAGATGCAGAAAAGTGCATTGGGGTTCATAGAAAAACAAATGAATGACAGACACTTTGTGCAACGAAGCCTGGCATATGGTGCAACAACATCTGTTTTTGAGAATTTTGGTGGAAACAGTCACTGCAGTCTTCATATGGCTTGATATTAGCTACACACGTCATGGTTGTAACTGACTCACAAGGTATGCTGAGAAAAATTGAGACAGTTAAGCTTCCCGCAGAGTGGCAAGCATAGCTTTAGATTTGCCAGGTAGTTAATTTATTTTGGATATTTTCTCCAGAGGACGCAGGCGTGTTGGGAAATGAACAACCAGGAAGACCGGCGGGCTCTATACCACTTGTTAGCAATTTGATGCATGACCAGCTAGGTATTTTTTTGCAAGGTGTTTTTGGAGGCAATAATTTACACACTCACGTACGCAGACCCTCACACACACACACACAAACATACACATACTTTGCGTAATTGAAGAAGACATTTTTACGGAAGCACACAAAGAGATCATCACGATATGAAGATTATGGTGCAACCGGTAGTGACCAGGTGATCTGACTGATACTCAGCAGACAAGAGCACAGGCATGACGGGCATACATAGACTGTTAATGGAACCAACGGAACTGGAACTCAGATCTGGCTGCTGAAAATGAAGACAGGTCGCTTATATAAATGTACCGCAGCAATGTGATGTCTAGGGCTTATTTCCTGGCGGTATGCCACTGAACGCAGTTTTGGCACCTTTATTTTAAGGAACATTTTTATATTCGAATGAGCCTTTACAGGTCTTCTTCTTCTTCAGCATTCCGAGCCCTTGAGGTTCATTGCTGCAGATATCACCGGCCTCCCTTCATCTCTTTGGTTGGCCTTCTCTTTCCAGTTGACGACACCAAGTGTTTGCAGGTCTGATTGGATACATTCCATGTTCCAAATCTCAAAAGTCCTTTAACGTTCCAGGTTCCTTGTTCCGTTTAAATCAATCCGAAATCGAGGCTTAGATATATGTTTCGTGGCGAGATAAAGTTTTACGAAAGTGGGAGTGTCGGCCCCACGCTCCAACCCCCAACCTGGAGGACCAGGGTGTCTCTCTTTGTCTGTTTTCCACTCTTCGACTTTTCCGGCTTGGGAGGCCTTGCTGGTAACTACGCTACCACCTGCATAGCTCTCTGGGTATTGAGAAACACAAGACCTCTACAACTTCAAGGTCTTTACAGGTCACTGTTATTATAAATATGATTTAGTTTTATGTATACACAGTGGGCGCCTCACGCTTTTATTAGTCGTGAAATACAATTGTAGATGACTGTTGGTAAAGATAATGAGCTAACCTCGGTTATACAATCCGCGTTAGCGCAGTCGATAAGAAGCTCGCTTTCAAATGCAGCTGCAACTCGCTGCAGCCCACGGTCAGTGTTCCAAACCGGGTGGCTCCCGGGGTTCACCCAGCCTCTAGGAGTACCAGAGTTGACCCTCTGGGGTGAACGGAGGAACGTCGCTGTAGCTACAGAGTTACGTGCGAACGGCGACACAAGCGGACAATTCTTATCAGCTTTCCGTACTGGTGGTAGAGCACTTATGGTTTATAACTGTGCGCAATGACGCTGGTTCACATCTCCCGACTTTACCTTTACCTTTATACAATAAATTATATTATAAAATATACATACAATATAAATGAGAAAAAACACGCCACCGTTAATATATTATGTTCAAAATACCATAATAGAAATTATTTTATATCTTTTTTAGTGTACTCAGTAATTGTATACAAGGTAAGTAATAGAAAGCAAATAGTATGAAAAGTTTTTTAAAAATGTTTTTTATTGTCCAAAAAAAAAAAAAAAACTTAGAAGGAAAGTGGACATGGACAATGCAGATGGAAAGTGCGAAATTATTTTTAACCGTATTGACAATTTTGTTTTCGTTATGGGAGACTACTCTTTGCTAATTCAGCCCGCCAAGCTTGAGTTTGATGAAGTATTTTTCTGAGCCTTCTAAATTTGTCCGCAAAGGAATATTTTGTAATGGTATATTTCTATTTTTATTATTCTTACGTTAGTTTAGCGCAAAATAATATTTCAAATAAATACAATCATCTGATCTTTACGTGAATGTCGTAGAAGACAGAGACTGACACTCAAGACACTACTCAGGGTGACAGTGAAGATATTCTTTTTTTCTCCTCTTATAATATTTTGTTTGTTGCTGAACTAATTTCAGTTCATCGTTCATGTATTGTAATTGTCCTGTTGTGCTATTATATTTATGTCGCATAGGGCTGGCAGTCTATTTCTCTATTTCATTAAATCCTTATTCGTTTGGCGTTTGCAGTCCATCAACGCCTTTGACCTCTCTCGTTCTTAACTATCAAGTTTCAAGTGTCACTTTCTTTAACTGTTTTCTCTAGGAAGTCCTCTATTTTATTCACTATTCCTCAAATCACTCTATTTCTTATTGTCCATTTGCCGTTTGGTTATGTTATTCTCTGTTGGTCTCTTCTCAGAATGTCGGGTTCTCCTTGCAATAAATAACGGTCGCTACTTGGACGTCGACGGCCGCTTAGTCATAGTCGGAGTTCAGTCCCCTGGCTGCAGTGCAATTACGGAGTGTACATGCACAAATCACAAAACAAAGTGAGTTCAACATGGCGTCTAGACCACGAACTGCGACTCACATTACCCTAACCCAAACCCTACCCCTAACCCTACCCCTAGCCCTAATTATGTAATTTGTGTCGTTCCCTCCTTTCCACTCCGTAATTGCACTGCAGCCAGGGGACTGAACTTCGACTAAGCGGCCGTTGCCGTCCAACTAGCGACCGTTATTGCAAGAAGAGCCGAATGTCGAGAATGTGTTCACTTAGTATTACATACCATAAATTATAATTTTTAGTTGCTAAAGTGTAGTTTTGCAGTTTGAAACACAATGCACACTTTTTCAGTATAGTATTATTTTGTGAGATTTTCTTAATTTTGTTAAATAATGCTACTAAGCATGATTAGATTGATTCCACCTAAAAAATGAAATCAACACCTTATCATTCAAGCCTTTGCATTACGTCAGTTTTAAGATGATATTATTTAAGTTTCAAGCAAAATTATATAAATAAGACGAACATAGAGAAAAATAGTAAATACTCTTTCAACACATTTAGAAATTGTGTTTTTAACTGTAACTTCCCATGGAGCAGACAACTCACACTTTGTTGTAGACTTGTTTGTGATTGCTAGGATTTTGCTGCCAAAGCTTTCCACATGATTGGTTAGATCTACCTCTAACTCTTCTTAGCCTTGTTACAGAAAACTCATAATGTCTGCTTATTTATAAATAATTGCTTAGAACAGAACAGAGACTGGAAAATATGTTGAATTTGTTTTTGTTAGTTTTAACAGAATTGTTAAGTTATATTGACTTGCTAGTCACTCACTCGGCATCGCCATAAATGTATGTCCCATGCCTCTTGATAGCACAGTATAACCCCAGCCTCTAGGTAATGGGTACCAGAGTTAACACTCTGGAGGAGCATTGTTGTAGCTATGTAGTCTCGTGTGGACGCGACACAGGTGGACAGTTTCTTATCAGCTGTCCTTACTGGCGGCAGAGCACTTATGGTTTATAACTGTGCAGTGACACTGGTTCACATCTCCTGACTTTACCTTTTGCATTATAACACTATTGTTTGGAAAGACAGAAAAGTGCCACCTATATTATTATTATTATTGAAACACATATCAAATATTTAAAAAAATAATAACATGTTTTTTTTAAATTTAGTTTTATGGGATTTAATCCAGATGACTCTACCAGTCACCGCCAAAAACTGTACTAGTCACTGAACACTGAACGATAGACTGAATATAAGTTCAAAGCATCTATCACTGATATATTTATTTGGTAAAAGTTCAGAGCATCTATCACTAGTAAATTTATTGGATAGAAGTTCTGAGCACCTAGAGATTTTAAAAGTATAATTGTAGAAGTACAGAATTAAGTACTTGGCAGTCAGAAATCACTCCTAATTTTGTGAAGTTGAAATTAAACTGCTGTCTTGATAATCCACTGCAGTGGATCTCCACTAAAAGAGATCTCATAAGTGGGGGAATTTCTGTTGTGAAGAACAATTTGTTTACCCCTGGCAATTTTTCTTGCTTGAATTCATAACAGGATATGTGATAAGAGCAATTTCTGCTTAGAGGAACCATTTCTTGGGTCCCTAGTGAGTTTTTCTTATCTGGTCTGCACTGTATTCAACATGATTTCTTTAATTGTTAACTATTCATCTTGTTTTCCTCAGCTGACAGGGATGCTTTCCTAAGACTGATGTAATTACTTTCATAGTAATCAAACAAGCAATCATCTTTCATGTGCATCCTTAACTAGAAACATGAAACAGAGCACACTTTTCTCAGTATTCTCTAAGAATACTAGTTTGAATGGAACCTCAAGTCGACTAGATCTTCTTGACTGTGACAATGAAAAGGCGAAAACAAATGCAGATACCCTTCCTAAAACCTCATCAAAACATGTGGATAAGTTGCATGCACAAGCAGAATCCAATCTTAGGTTGGATGCGAGTCCTACTGATTATTGTGCTGGAAATACAAAAGTTAATAAATTGTTGTTGTTAGATGTTGAGCTGGATAGTACAGATAAGAAGAAAAGCATCAAGCTGGATATTGAAGACAAGAAGAAGAACATTGAGCTCAGTATTACAGACAAGAACGCCAAGGATGAAAATATTAATTGTAAACGACAAGGGAAGTTATCACTATCCTCTGTGAAGAGATCAAATACTTTAGTAAATGTTGAATATATAAGTCAACCAGAATCTCAAATTAAGAATCAGATTAAGTCCACTGGAAAGTTTGTGACAGTTCAAACATCACCATTAAATTTGCACTCACTGATAAAGGAAAGTCAACCCATGGAATATTCTGATGCAAAACTTCCTTCAGATGCTGCAAAAGAGCAAGGAGTGGATTCAATAGGCTATGCAGATTTCCTAGCCCAGCTGGTCAACAAAAATGACAAGAAAATACACCAAAACAAGGAGGTCTCTGCTTCCTGCACCGGCAGTGAGAGTGACGAGACAAAAAAGGCAGTGTCGTACTTAGAGTTCCTTGGTATGTTCAAATCACCACCAAAAGTTGAAGAGTCAACAGTCACAATTGATGATGATGATGAAAATGGTGAACTAGAAAAATGTCCTCTTCCTCTTCCAGTTACTGAACAGCGGAAGGAGGTAAAATGTAAATCAATCACTTCCTTTTTCACAAAAATCGAAACTAAGCCCAGACATATAAATTCATCCGACATTACAACTGTAACAGTGATTGCTGAAGTTCATTCTCTGTCTGATTCAGTGGAGCACAAAAGGACAGTTAAATCAGCACACAACAAGAAATTGCCAGGAAAGGTGGACAGATTAAAGGAAGATAAATGTGAAATAGAAATATTAAGTTCAGAGACAATAACTGACGTTGAAGATGTGGGAAAAAAAGTGCAAGGAACAAAAAGGAACAGTGAGGCTTCTTCCTTGTCATTACAGGTTGCCAAAAAACTGAAAGTTGAACAAGAATCAGTAGTGAATAAACAGAAAGTTGAACAAGAATCAGTATCACATAAGCAGACCTCTAATAAAACAGTCACAAAGTCTAAGAATGAAATACCATCAGATGTTTCTATGAAAACAGTTTTGAAAATGCCAACCACATCCAAAAATAATAACTGTTTACATGGAGAAGATAGTACATCAGCTGCTTCTTTAAATGATGCAAAGTTTAAACCACTTATGCCTGCAACCATACCAGCATCATCAACAAAGTCATCACAGTCTACTCTTCATTTTGGAACAAGTGGTCTTTTATTGAAGAAGGCAGAGGGACTGAAAATAGATATTTGCACAGAGGAAGATTCTGCAGGTTCTGATGGCGAGATCTTAGCCAAAAAACCAACAGAGAAGCAGTCTTTACTGAGAGCTAAACTAGAAAATGAAGAAGAAAAGAAGCTGAACATGCGCAAAGCCAATGGCAAAGAAGAATGTGGAAGGGCAACAAAGTTTGAACAAACAGCTACCGGCATTGACAAAAGGTATTTATCTTTTATTGTTTTAGTATTAAGGAACCTTTTTGTGCCAGTCGCACCAGCTATGTATGTGAAACTAATTCAGATAGACCAGTCATCTGATGTAGTCATTATGCTGGTTGCCTTTAAATCCCAAAACATTTCCTGGTATCTCTTTTAGACAGGGTCAGCCTGAGAGCCAAAGTCGATTATAAAATCACTCGTGTGGGTTCCGGGGCCCTATTAAAGGGAAAACAAGAATAGACCCACTGCCTACCAAAAAGCATGTCATAAGAGTCGACTAATTAAGAACTTCCTTCGAAGTCAGAGTGCATCTGCCTGAGAGGCAAGGAGCCAACAGTCTGCACACAAATGTGTCAGATCTGTCAAACGGATGCACACGCAACATTCAGGTTCTGGAACAGGACTGTGGTCCAGAAGTGGACGAGCAACCAGAATTTTCCACCAGAGTTTACTGCTGGTGAGTGCAAAGAAGAAGAAGATGATGATGATTATAAAATGTGTCTCAATGTGGATTCTTCTTGTACTACATTCTCATTTAAAAGGGTGGTTGTTGTGTTGGTATTTGCACCTTTTGACCCAACACATTGGAGTTCAGCAAAGCCATAATTAGTTGCAGTTTGCTACATGCTTGTTAAAAGGCAGTTGCCCCCCCCCCCCCCCCCCTCTTCCCTTTCGACCAAAAAAAACATAGGGCACCCGGACCCACACAGGGTAATGTGAATTCAAACCAGAAACTTTTTGACTGGCAGGAAAGCATCTGCTGCATCTCCCATTTTAACTCTCTCGGTACCAAGCAATTCACCATGCATTTCTTGGTATTCTAAATACAGTGTAATGTTGTAGCTATTATTAATTTGTATCTAAATTACTAGTTTAACCATCTCTGTTCCATCAAGTCGCTGTTGAACTCCTTCTGATCTAAGTATTCATTGATTGTAAGCTCAACTCTTTGGGATCATCATCATCACATGCCCTGCTGACTGGCATAGGTGTTCATGCATCTCCAAAGATCTTGGTCCCTTGTCCTCTGGGTCAGTTCCACCGAAGATATCCCTTTGTGCCACCATCACAATCCACCCATCATCACCTCTCTCGGCCTACGTTTGCCTCTTATACCGTTGATCTTCCTAGTTGTCACGGTATTCTCCATAACTGCCCCCCCCCCCTCCCAATCACATGACAGAAGAACAGTGCTTGTCTTTTCTTTATAACTGTATATATTGATCTGCTCTCATTAGCTTCCTTCATGCAATCTTCAGTAGTTACTCTGGCAGTGCAAGGGATTCTTAACATTTGTCTGAGAAATGAGGGGTACAATTAAATGTTAAAAGTCAGTGGGTCTGTGGGATTTTTAACATTTGTCTGAGAAATGAGGGGTAAAAGTGAATGTTAGAAGTCAGTTGGTCTGTTCTTTTTGATTTCCACCTTACCCACACAGATTGTGGCCCAGGAACCCACACTAGGGGAAGGGATTGTTAATTAAATTTCTCATTTGGGTTCTATTACAAATACCAAAAAAAGGGGGGGGGGGGCTACTGAAATCAGATGTATTGTGCCAAAAAGTGCAGATGTCACTGCTGCCTGTAAACCACAGCACAATGTGCCGAGCACCATTCTATGGGTGAATGCAGAAGACGATTAATTACATTCTTCTTTTTTGTGGTTTGCTAGTTTAATTCACTAATTTACCATCACTGTCTCGTAGGGAAAACACAAGTGGGGATTGTAGCGAACCTGTACCTTTCGTGGAAAGATTGCTGCAAACACCAAAAGAGAGGACAGACATAGGTAAAGACCTTGCCCAGGAGAAGACAGAGGAAACTAGTACACCAAGGCGTAGTGCTCGCCTGGCGCAGTCAGTTCATGTCTTCAAGGATGCAGATATTGTGGAGATCACTAGTGATGATGATGATGAGCCAAAGAAAAGAGGAAGAAAGGGAGGAGCTGCAAAGTCATCTACCAATGGTGGAAGTCCAGCAGGGAACTGGCCAGTTAAATCTTCAGGTAAAAAGAAACTTAGTCTGTATAGATTGTCATCATCATCATTAGGCTAGTCAGTCCTGATATATAGATATTGAAATCATGTGACGTATCACTGCACAGGCCCCTTTACTCTAGACTTTTTTTTCAGCTCCCTGCATGTGTGTGACTTAATTTTTTTCTTGAATGTATTGTGTCTTTCTATTCTGTCTTCTAATGGTATATTTTGAAAATGGGAACTCTCACAATGTATATAGATAGATTAATGTGTCAATATCATCAAAGGTTTGTCAGTCCTAAAATGGCTGTTGAAATCATCTCACCATGTTTCTCCACTTACTTGTTTATTCTTGACTTTTCTTCGGCTCTGTTTAATGTCAAGTCTCCAAAATGTAATTGTTTCTTGGACATTAATTTTTTTCTTTGGTTTTGCCCTTTTTTTGAAATCCTGAAGGTTAGCTCTGAGATTAGTGAATGCTTTAACAATTTCATGATCCCCAAGTACTGGGTTCAGTATTTATGTTGGATAGTTTTTGTGTGTTTTTTAAAGCCTTTCTTATGTTTGTCAGACAGTAGTACAAGACTCACATGATGGCTGAGATTGGGCCTCACCAAGTTTTTTCCCAAGCAAAGCTGTGAACCCAACCTTTATTTTAGACAGCACAGTTTTCTTTTTAAGATATTCTAAACATAATAAATTATAATGGGAAACACGAATGGAAAGGACACAAATACTAAAGTATTATTAATAACAATTAAAGTATGTAAAAGTGTTTATTTTCCCCCACATGCTTTATAAGCGTTTTTTATGTGTCATTTACGTTTATTTATCTTTATGTGTGATCTTTTTCAGCGTCTTGAACCCTTACGGTTCATTGGGTCAAATATCACATGCCTCTGTTCATCTCCCAGTTATTCCTTCTCTTTCCAGTTAATCATTTAAAGTGTTTAAAGGTCTGTCTGTATTTTATCTCTCCACCATCTTCTTGGTCTGTCTACTCCCATTCAACTCTTTTGTGTAAGCATTGTTCGATTCCCTGTTATCTGCCATTCTGCCACTCATTGCAGTCAGTTAACCTTTTTGATATCAGCACAGTTAGAAATGATTTAAACAGAGACATCTTTATGTATAATATTTGTTTTAAAAATGCATTGACTTTCTTCAGGAAAACTTGCATCAATTTTTACCGCTGTGAAATCAAAGGAGCCTGTTGGTAAAGTTTTCCTAGCGCCTGTAGACCCCGAACAAGAACGATTGAGACGAGAATTCTTGATGAGTGGAATTCCTGACGAGCTGAAACGTCAGATAGCTACAACAGCAGCCACCGCAAATTTGGTGCTGGATTATCCACCCCTTCCCAACATCAGCCATGTGCAGCAGATATCAGCCGAGGATTACTTGCCTGTTAATATCAAAATCCCAAAGCTTTGTGTTCTTGATGACAGTTTTCATGGTACAGTCGGTATGTGGGAAAGGCTAGGATGGAAAAAGACACAAAACACTAAAGGTCTTGATCGAGACCCATTTAAGGTTAGTATTTTTCTTCCATTTCTTCTTCTTCTTTGCGTTCACCAGCTGTAAACTCTGGCAGAAGGTTCTGGTTGCTCGTCCACTACTGAACTGCAGTCCTGCTCCAGAACCTGAGTGTTGTGTGTGCATCAGTTTTACAGATCTCATTCTCTTGAATACAGACTGTTGGTTCCTTGCCTCTCCGGCAGATGCACTCCGACTTCAAAGGAAGCTCCCCAATTAGTTGACTCTTACGACATGCTATTGGGGAGGCAGTGGGTCTATTCTTGTTTTCCCCACAATGGGGCCCAGGAACCCACACGGGGGGTTCTTCCATTTGTTTTCAACATTCTGTTCAAACATGTAGTTGAACCTTTCCCCTGAAAGAAAAATGTGTACTTGTACACTCTGTATTTTATCAGATCATTCTAAATAAATTTGGCTTCTACCTACTGTAGTTACTTCCATTATGTATTAAGCTGTTTTGTTTTTTTTCCGTCAAATTATCAATAGTTACTTGGTATGATGATTAGAAAAACGGATCTGTTCACAGTTACTGTGACGCTGACCTTTCATTCATAGCTTCTTGGACTCTTCTGGGTCACAGGGGTGTGCGAGTCTATTCGGCGAAACTACTGTCCTGTGTTGAGCGAGCAAACTGCGACTCAACGTATTGAAAGGTCGCCTAGCTGGCTACTTGCACATCGCTGGCTGTGTCCCCGAAATAATCTAGACTAAGCTCGCACCCCTATGCCCCGGAGCGGTCCATTGATTAATGAATGAAACCGTGCGTAATACAGAACCTAATTTCAGTGTCACGGTAACCGTGAACAGATTAAAAAAATATTGTTCTCCAAAATAGCCGTGGCTGCCAGGTCGATCCAGTCTAAAGTGGGTACCGGGGAAGGGTCTTTAAAGTAACAACAACCATTATGATGTTGACAATATCACTCGACTGCTGACTGGTCATTAAAACTATGAGATTAACATCATAAGTCCGATGCGCCACTGATGCTAAAAGGGTCCTTTACTTACTATTTGCTGGATCAGAACGTATAACCACTGCTACAGCACTGTCATATTTTGTCAGTGCAAGTACAACTAATGATGTTCACACTTAAATGCATCAAATGATCTTCAAGTTGCTGGTTGCTTGCAGTGTCATTATTCCTTGCTCAACTTGTCTTGAAACTTACATGCTGCCTGTCCACTTATGATGAACTGGTCACATTTTCTGACTCACATTTTATTCTGCTTGATCAGTTTAAATAATTGTAACAAAACATGAGTTATACATGTTCTGCTTACTAGTAAATGGAGTGGTTGGGGGGGGGGGGGTGAGTATATCACAAGTAGTTGGTTTTAAGATACTCCATCCAAACCTTTTCAGTCATCCCCCAAGTATCTGCTGCCATCAATATAAATGTTAACTAATGGCAACACTTAAAACAGCTATTCCATTTATAGCTCTTGCATACAATGCAAGTTTAATGGTGCATTGCTTACATCTTTTGTGTCTTCATTCAAACTGTTGTTTGATGCATTATTGTTATATTGAGAAAAATATTCACTAATATTTTTTTCTTTTCCACAGACGTTCACAGCAAACCCTTCAGGTGAAATCCCACGTGTTGACCTCCTGTTGCAGGACCTTCAGTGTTGTGATGGCAAATTTCCTTTCAGAAAAACTTATCAGCATCTTCACAGTAAAGTTGTCTCTTCTGAAACTGCATGTAAGTGATTACTGTGTTTATTTTCTTGTCTGCCATTTTAATGGTAGTTCTGGATTATTGTTTCTCTTTTAGTGACCAAAGAGTGAGTTGGTGTTTTAGTGTCAGTTTTGTTCTTGCATCCTTCTACTTCTTTTTTGTTCATCGGCTGTAAGCTATGGCGGAAAGTACTGGTTGTTTGTTCATTTGGACTTTGGCTTTGTTTCAGGGCCTGAGTTTTGCTAATTTGTGTGCAGTTGGATGTTCCTTGCTGCTGGAGCAGATGCACTCCGACTTTGAAGGAAGCCACCAATCAATCGATTCCTGTGACATGCCTTTTTTTGGTGTGTGGTAGATATGGGTCTGTTCGTTTTCCCCCAGAACCGGGCCTCAGAACCTACACGGGGAAGCTGTTGCATCCAAAAATGTATTTAATGAGATTTTTCATATGGTTGTTTTCTGGACATATGTGTAAGTGGTTTTAAACTGCTTTTGGCTCTGATGTGCCCTGTAGGAAACTGTTTCTAAAGTAGCAATTGAATATATCGTACACACAAAATTATAATTTTCTTATACTGAAGTATTGGTTGAAAATTTTTGCAGTCTCAACTTAGCATTTGATTTCACTTAGCATCTGGTTTCTAATTTTGAAATGTTGCTAAGGCCGTGGCCATACTACTTGTTACTACATGGTTACTGCCTCAAGACTTTCAGCATACACATTCAACATTCTGTTTGTTCACTTTGAGCCTTCTTCTCTGAGGCCCCAATGGAATTTTTGTTTCCTGATAGTTCAGTAATTAGCACTGATTCATAGCCCCATGGTAAAACTGATTTATATGTTACATGCAGTAAGCCTTGGTAATAGATTTATTGCATGTGATGTTCCTCATATTAAACAGTGCAATTGTTACTTACCCTAATCTGTTAGGTTACCTGAGTATAAAACTGCATAAGTTAATATTAACGTTTTGTTTTTTGATTAAAAAGAAACAGCCAGCTGAGTGGATAGAATGCTGGGCTGTTATGGAGGAGACCTAGGTTTGAATCCTGAGTAAGGTGACAGTAGTTTTTGTGGGGGTTGGAGTCGGAAATATTCTATAACCTGCACACTTGCTGGTGACTGCACTAGTCATGCAGCCCTAAATCTTCAGGTTCAACCCTCTTCTGTCCTGCACCACCTTAGAGAGTGGTAATTACAGGTAGCCATGACAGTTTGTTTCTTTAACTTTCTGATGAATACATGTTGTTTCTTTCCAGTATTAGTTGTGCGGTAGAAGACAAAAAATTATTTCATTCTGAATTAAAAGACAAGAACACAAGAAGCTGATTCCCAAATCTCCTAGTTCTTATGATCTAGTAAACGGCAGTCAGCTAAGTTTAGTAAGGGACCAAAATGTTTAAAATGGCTATCGTCACTGGCCCGAGGCCCTAGACCCTGTGTAGAAAGATCATTTGTACAATATACCTGGCAACGATCCACAGGCCACTTGCTTGCCCTCTGCTGGCCGGATTCATATTTGTAAAGCTAAATTTTTTTACATATTATTTGTTTGTTTTTTATTGTTGTTAAAAGCATAAATTATACTCATCAACAGCTGGTGATGTTGCAGATAATAAACTGACTCCACCTATTGTCATTGATGTAGAGGCTATTGATGATGATGTGATTGTGTGTGATGCTTCACATGTTTCTGATCTACAACCATTAAAAAATACCTCAGAATCAAAAGGTAATTATATGTTTTATTTGTTGGACAACTACTACTCTCGGGATTTCTGGTGCTTATTCTCGCTCTTGGATTTAGATTAATTATTTAGTGAATTATTTTCTAAAAATTTTTTATCATCTTCTGACCTGCTACAGATCATGCTTGGAGGGCCTTAGCTTAGTGCTCAAACTTTCTTGTACCTGCAAGAAGCTCAGAGTGTGTTCATACTGTAAATATTCAGACAGCTTTTTCTAATCTTGGAAGGTTGCTGAGGCAGTGGCCATACTATCTGCTTTTCGTGGTTACTGCCATAGTACTTTCAGCATACACATACATAGGGTTCAGGTAGGTTAGGTGCAAAGGCAAAGGCTTGAATCATTACAGAAGTCCGCTGTGCGTGAAGTCAGCTTTATTTTCATTCCTGGGTACGCAGGCGTTGATGGAAATGAAAGGGTTTATAGGTTGGCTGAATCCACTGTCACTGCTGACGGTCAACCTATGGATCATGCGGATATTATTAATGCCCTTCAAGAAATGGGAAGGACAAAGGACTTTTGGGTCAGTGAATCCACATCACTCCCCAGAATGATAGACTTGGGAGTTAAGATCGGCATAGCAAAAAATGAGACGCACATCAGAGGGCTTTTTAATCAACATAGAACTGGTACTATTAGCCACTGGATGCTGGGGTTCATACTGAGGGAGGAATCTGATCACCTGTGGACATATCCAGTGTGCAGTGATGATAACCCAATTAACTAACTTACATATAACATTCTGTTTAATCACCTTCAGCTGAGAAAACAGTGTATTCAATCCAGTACCTAGACATCAGAGGGAACATATAACACCACCAGGATCCTCTGAAAAAAGTTGGAAAATACAGTTCTTTGCTGAAATGTAGTTCTTATTTCTGTTTGTCTCAGCACTAGCTGTTTCAGTTGTTGACCATATTTGTTCCACACTAGCTGTTTTAATTTATACCGTGTATCTATCCCACTCTGGCTTCTTTGGTTCTAAACCATTTTTGTCCTAGACAAGCTGTTTCTATACAGTGTATGTAGTTCTTATTTCTATATTTGTCTCAGCGCTAGCTGTTTCACTTCTTGACCATATTTGTTCCACACCAGCTGTTTTAATTCTATACTGTGTATCTGTCTTCACTCTAGCTGTTTCAAGTCTTGACTTATTTGTCTCCATTCAAGCTGTTTTAATTATATACAGTGTATCTATCCCACTCTGGCTACTTCAGTTCTGAACCATTTTTGTCCTAGACAAGCTGTTTCTATACATTGTATCTGTCTTCATTCAAGCTGTTTCAAGTCTTGACTTATTTGTCTCCATTCAAGTTATTTTAATTATGTACGGAGTACCTGTCTCGGAAGATCATTTATATCAGAATTGATTTAAAGTTTATGAGACAGAAAGTTGTGAATCGACATGACTACCAATGCCACGTTTCATGGACTATATGAAGAAGGTAGCCGTTCTAGTTCTATATTGTATATCCATCTCTGCACTAGCTGCTTCAGTTCAGGTCTGTCTGTCTCCTTTGACAGTTGAGCATCACAATCTTATTGTTTCTGGCTTTCTCTTGATAAATAAATATCAATAAATTAGGTTTGAAAAGAAGACGGAGCACATGTGGGAATGTCCCAAGTGCAGTGATGCCGATTCTTGATAATTCATACATTCATTCTTTCGTATAAGTTTTTGTCTCTCTGTAATCTCTTCTTTCATCTGCAGCATCTCTGTGGTCTGACCTTCACCAGCCAGAAAGCTCGGAGCATGTCATTGGAAACACTAAAGCAATGAAACAGTTAAGGGAATGGTTACAGGAATGGAAGGTAGTTCTGGAAAAACAGGTGCGAAAGGCCAGCAAGATCAGTAAAAACACAAGCAAAAATAAACATAAAGGTTTGTACATCATATATTCTTTGAAACTCTTTACAGGACAAATCAACACAGAACACAGGATTTCCTGTTGAACTGCAATTCTAGTAGGGGACTTTGGATGTTGGCACCTCTAGCGGCTGTCTTATTTATTGCATGAATATGCTGATGTCTTTCCCAGGACTGCAGTTTGCTCCCTCCCCCCACCCCCCCCCCCTTTTTGGGGGGGGGGGGGGTTTAAACATTGAGCAGTGACAAGCATTTTGTGTGGATTTCATTGGCACAACAACAAAGCACTTATGGCGTGATTCATTTGCTGTAAAGTTGGAAAAGCGACTAAAGACTAACACTTATTGACAGGATTTTATTTGCCGACATTACTTTTTATAAAAATGTATAAGCTGCGTTATTGTCTTATACGAATTTTTTTCCCAGTTAAAAAGATTGTAGCATGCACATGAGAGGAAATGCACTAATAAACGAAATCTCCGCTTTTGCCTTTTTCTTGAGATGACTCGAGGAAGAAAAGAAGTAAAACATCATTTACCCAAAAAAGAAGACCAACCAAAAACATTGCACTGGGAAAAGCGTGCAGAAGATACACCACCCCCCCCACCTCTTTTCCTTCTGCTAGTTGGGGTGTCTGGGACAGGATAATTCTTCTTTGTCGTGTGCAGGTGTGCACTTAAGCACATCAATATTGACTAAACAAATAGAACGTCATAAGCATTAAGTATTGTTAGGATTTTTTTATCTAGAGGTTCGCAGTCAAAAAGTTCAAGAAGGCGGACGTGTGGTCTGGCTTTTTTGGATCCTAGAGGAAGATTTACCCCGGGATTCCACAGGGAAATGCAGCCTAGTACTGTAGCATTACTGCCATCTCTGCAGGAAGCAGGATTACTTCAATATGTTGTTTAAACTCAGCGATACTGCTGGCGAATCACGAAGGAACGACATGGTCGTGTTCATGAGTATTGGACTGCATATGGATTTGTTGAAGTAACGGTTATTTTTAAAGGTCGTGCTGTTGAGCAATAGTGAGTTGATAACGAATCCATACAGAATATGGATTCTGATGTTTCAAGACAAGTGTGAGTATGCTAGCGAGTGCTCGTAGTGTTTGGGTGAGTCTTGTCTACATATCATGTTATTGCACATTTGTGTTCAGATCATAGGCTCGTAATACACCAGTGTTATACTACATACATGGCCTTGGTCATTTGATTTACGTTTGGACACCATGGAGTTGACTGTTACTGTTACAGTTGTCATGTTTCGTCAGGAGTTTCAGATAATGCCTGTTGGTCCTTGACCATAGTTTACAGCAGGAATCATCTATGACTACAGCTAGCCTGAATAGTCTGTATCTTTATATAAGACACCTTTTGACCCAAAATATCTGATACCGGCAAACAATTAATTAGTAACATTTTTATTATGGAGTCTCTTTTGCACACCCCTCCTGTTCAAAATCCATACTGGGGAGCAGACGAGGAAGAGAAGTAGAAGAAGTTATCAAACAGCATTTACTCTCCATGTGGGTTCCACGACCCCATTATGTGGAAAACAAGACAATACCTATTGCCTTTCAAAAAGTGTTATGTCATACAAGTCGACTAATGGGGAGCTTCCTTTGGGTGGAGTGCACTAGCCCAAGAGATGCGGAACCAGCAGTCTGTATACAATTAAGCTAGATCTGTAAAATGGATGTGCACACGGTACTCGAGTTCAGAAACAAGACTAAAGTTGAAAGATGGATGAACACCAGAACTTTCTGCCAGAGCTAACAACCGGTGAATGTAAAGAAGAGTTGATATCAGGTAAAGCCTTGAGAAGAAAGGCGGCCAGCGTGATACTGACCACATCACCTACCAAATGCCAATGGAAAAAGAGCCTTTAGGTCAACTTGGAGCCAAGGTCATTTTTGAAAAATAAAATCCATTTCTGTTCGGGCACGACCTTCCGAAACCACAGGCAAACATCAGCCTACACATACTTTAGAAAAAGCATGAAGAAGACCCTTCCATCTCCTCCTCCACCACTTTTGGTGCAATGGTTCTAGGAAGCAGGTAAAAGTTATCACAGCATTTATACAAAAGAGCCATACTGAACAAGAGATTTACACAGTAAAATTCAATCCAGACAATAATATCACTGAAACAGGTGGCTGGTCAGATGACAGTGATTTCACGGACAGTGAGGAAGAGGAAGAAACCCTTTGTAACAGTGTGCTCATCACTGGAGCACGTGGTATCGGCAAGACAGCTTCTGTTTATGCACTGGCAAAAGAATTAAACTACAAGGTATGAATTCTATAGTTTTTCATGTTTGTTCAGCTATGTGTAGTTTTGATGCAGCTAGATGCTCACCTGCTGGGCTGAAGGTCTTGGGTTCGAATCTGCATTAAAAAAAATATTATTTTTAAAAACTTATTTTGGCTCCCAGGTGAGCTAGCCTTGAATGGCTGTCAGGGTAATGTCCTGGGAAATATAAGAGGCCAGCAAAGTGTTACCACATAACCTCCTGATTGATATATACAAATTTTAGTCTAGCATCATATGCCAATGCACCACTTGTGTAAAAGGGGCCCTTTACTTCACCATTGTCTTTCTCCTTGTTGATTCTGAGACTTCTGTGGGTAAAGTTAATTCATGTCCTTTACAGCAGTGTTTCTCAACCTGTTTTCCAGCCGCAGATAAACAAGGGGATATTGTTTCACTGCCCACCTGACAGCTGACCAAACACAGAAACAAAAACATGCAGACAGTAGACATGACACAATTTATTCATTAAATCCAGTGTCACAACTCTGGTTCTGGAACAAAACCCGAGTCCAGAGGTTGACGAACACCCAGAAGTTTTCGCTGTAGTTTATAGCCAGTGAATGCGAAATAGAAAAAAAAGGGATGTCACAAAATGACAGTTTTTATCTAGTGTGACATCTGCTGCTGCTTAGAGTTTAGAAAATCTGATTACCGTGGCTGGTGCCTTGTAGTGCCTAAATTATATAGCTGTAACAGGAGTTATAATCCAGCCCAGGCAGGACAACAGGTTATGCAGTCATCGGGGTCCTGATGTGACTGTTTTATTGCAGCTGAACGGGGTTTTATTACCGCCTAACAAGGTTTTCAGGATTTGTGGGGTTCTCATCTTAAAGGGATTAATCCTACAGATTGCAATCTTGGAAGGGATAAACTACGTACCCTTCCCCATTACATAATTAAATTTGTGCCGGCCCACCTGAGCTTTTCCGGTTGAAGAACACTGCTTTACAGGACATTTCAAATCAAGCCCAGTATTTGTTGGACCATTTCTTACTAGGCAATATTGCATTCATTAGTTTGCCACTGCTTTCTGAATGTGATAACTCTTCCAGTCTCTGATATGTCAGAATCTTGAAATTATGTCCATGATAGTGTCCCTGATAAAGAATTTGTGTTTTACAAAAGAATTCTGGCTAACGGGGACTCACATACATCACTCCAGGGATAAAGATTTTGCTCACACTGACTGTTCTTCTTAATCAAGTTCATGTTAATAAAGTTTTACCGTAGTTGGTATTCAGTTTCGCATTTTAGTTTTTTGTGTGTGGAATGAAGTTGACTGATGCAGTTACAGAATTATTGACATACATTGAGATGTGATAATTTTCCTCCTTTTAATGTAGGTGATATTGGAATATGTTGTAGCTTTATGGAAGTTGTAGTTCATAATGCATACTGTACCTTATTTTACAATATGATGTTCTGTATTACAGAATATGATGTGATAAAATATGATATGTGATTTCTGTCGTAGATATTTCAGATAAGTAATTTTGCGTATTCTTTTTTGTGGTATTGTATATTTATGTAAAATGCTGATGAAGGCTATCTGACTGCAGCATTCCCTTATGTTTATGTTTATGAGAATGTGAAACAACTGACTTGTTGCACTTTTCATTTGTTCTGATATCTTTTCATGATCATCTGTATTACAGGTGTTTGAGGTGAACTCTTCTTCATTGAGGAGTGGCAAACAGCTGTTAGCTCAACTGGAAGAAGCAACCCAGTCTCACAGAGTGGCTCAAAATAAGAGCAAATCTGCTGGAATATCAGACACACCACCTGCAGGTTTGTGTGTGCATGAAGAAAATATATAGGTATTGAGTTTCTGGTAAATGTGGCAGATAGGCGGATTTTTGGTCATGGCAAACTTTGCTTCTGACAGTGCTTGCTGTTGCATTGTCCTCCATATATAGACTGAAAGCCTATGGTTCCATCGTCCACTTCCTGAGTTGAGTGCATAGTGCCACACTGAACTTTGGATTTCATTGGGAATGCTTTTAGGCTGCCCAATATATGTGTTGTGAACTGCAGATTCAGAAAATGATATGTTGTCAAAGAAGTAGTGGTGCCTTAGATGCGCAACTACTGATCTGTTGTAACTGCTGCTTCCATCGATGATGATCTGCATTTCTTGTGTCCCATTTGCTGTGAAGTTGAAACTGGGATTATCCAATTAAGTAAAGATAAGGTATGACAAACATATTGGCATGCATTGATTGGTACTCATCGTCATAGACCTATAACACTGAGTGTCGTGGGGTCACCAGTTGCTATTGTCTCTCTGATCAGTTCCCACCAGCTTTGTCAGTCAGATGCAGTGGACCTGATGTTTGCATGTCCATTCAGGTTGATTCTCTGTTCACTTCTTTCTTGATCTGCTTCTTACCTTTTTCCCTTCTGCCAAGGCCTTTAGCATTGTTTTGCAGAGGCCGGTAGATCTTAATACATTTCCGTAACACTGCATTTTTGGGTACTCATCGATTATTTTATTGTAATTTCCAAGCTTACCATAACAGTTCAAAAACGGGTGCCAGAAAATGTCTCAGGAGTTTATGTTGGCTGGAAGGATTTTGATATCATCCATCAAATGCTGAGTTGTCTATAAAAAAAAAAGATAGAGTGTGTGGGGTCTAGCACCATATGCCTAATTCATCTAGAACTGAGGGAGTTTCTTTGCTTCACACTTTCATGACTGAATAGAGATGATTTTTCCTGGTTACACATCAGATAGTCTATGTGAATGGCTGGGAGCTCTCATGGCATAATTACCAGATATTCCCTGCGGATCTAAAGGTCTTGGGTTCAGGTCCTGAGGAAGTCAGACTTTTTTTTTTTTTAAATAAGATGATCTTGTCTCCCAGGTCAGGCCAGCCTTAAATGGGTACCAGGTCAAATCTGGTCAACATGCTGCCTTTATTGGCCAGCTTTGTTAATTCTAAAGAAGAGGTAACACCAATAGGTTAGAAACAAAGCATGCTGCTAGATCAAAGAGCAGTGCTCTGCATGCCGGGCCTTCCCTCCTAGACCAGCCGCCAATGAAGGCTAAGGGCCTGATCTTTTCTGCCATAAAATTGAGTTTTCAGATTGCATTTCCTTGTCCAAGGATAAGACTAGTATCCTCAGTGTGATGCTCCAACTGAAACCTTTGACAGAGCTGGGATATCAGGATTGGTATACTCTGCCCAATAGTCGGCGTTAGCAGAGAACAGGTAGTACTAACTGCTGTTATACAGTAAAATTATCTTTTTCCATGCATTCAGTGCGCATTTGGGGCTCGACTGATGAAAAGTGTTATCTGACCAAGACCTGACTGGCATATATGCCTAGTTTTCTAACATTCTGCTAAAAGCAAGTAGCAAGTTATTGATCTTCAGTGTGACTTACATGTCCACTTTTAGCATTTGTAGAAACTTTCAACAAATGCAGAAAGAATGAATCATGTTATATTTTTATGATTTTATATTTTTTGTTATTTTTTTATGGCAATCTTATATAGGTACATTGAGATCATTTTTAATGTATCTTTTTATTTGTGTGTGTTAGGTTCCAGCAAAAGGTTGGAGGTAGACAAAGGAATAAGGCCTTTACCTAAACCAAAGCAGGGAACTACTGCTGCCTTTGCTAACTTATTTCGCTTGACACCACAAGCTGGGGATAAAAACAGCAAGAACACGGGAAGTAAGCTCACAGTGTCAGGCAAAGAAAGCAGAAGTAGCAGTGTAAAGAAAAACAAGGAAACACCGATCCTGAAAATTACTGAGCCAGTGAATGTAAGATTACAGAGAAAGAAAAACAGTGAGGCGTTGGGAGAAATGGATGCTACAAAGCTCAAAAAACACAAAGACGGAGATAAAGGTGAGTTTTTTTTTTTTTTTTTTTTTCTATTGTGATAGGGTGAGGTGAGTTTCTTATGTTTTTTTTTTTTTGTTATGTTTAGTAAAAAAAATAATATACAATAAATGTGTGTTTTTAATTTTTTTGTTTTTCAAAGGAAAGAATGCATAGCAACTGAAAAGTCAATTTCTACATTGAAAATCTTTGTAATTTAATGAGTGATATTGTTTAAATTATACAAAAGAATACCTTAGTGTTAAGTCAGTCAACTGACAATTCTTTGACACATTTGCCAGTAATGAACATTCTATTACAATACTACTTTTACAGTTTTATCATTTTCCAAAATCTTTGATAACATTTGCGAGTAATGAACATTTTATTGCAAAACTAGTTTTACAAACTCATCATTTTCCAAAATCTTCAGCTTCATCATCATCCTGCACCATGCCAGGCTATGTAGGTGGTCATGTCTCTCCACAGATCTCAATCATTGGTATTTTGATTCAGTTCACTGATGATATTCCTCTGTGTCATTTGTTTCAGCCCATCAAGCATTGTTTCTCTCTGTCTGTCTCTGCCTTTTCTGTCGTCTGATGTTCTCCAGTGCCTCTTGTCTCATGACCTTACCAAAGAACACACTGCCTTTTTCATATAGTTATAGAAGCTTATATTTGGAAAATTAGATAATTAATACTGTCATGATATTTATATTTTAATTATGTCATTTCCAGCTGGAGTAAAATCACAAGCAGATGGGAATAATGGTGTGACATCTGGCTCATTGAACCTAACGTCGGCTTCCCTTATTTTGTTTGATGAGGTAAGTTAATATTTTTTGTTTGTTTGCATACACCAGCTGTAAACCCAGGTGGAAAGACTTGGTTGTCCATCCATTTCTAGACTTTGGCTTTGTTCCTGGACCTGAGTTTTGCGTGTGCATCCATTTTACAGATCTTGCTTATATCTATGCAGACCGTTGGTTCCCTGTCTCTCAGTCATATAAACTTCAACTTAACCCTACCAGACCTCAGGCCCTGAACCTGCCTCCTATACCTGAGCTCCTGGGCATTAATGGGAAAAAACAACACGATATACAAAAATATTAGTTACATGCAAACAAGTGGCTAGAATAAGATGAAACTTGGAGACACTGTAGAAAATAGGTTAACCTTTTATCTAGCGCCTGAATTCCACCTTTCAGGATCAGCCTTGTTTCACAAAGTAAACACCAGATGTTGCTGTTTGAGGGACACGCCTCCTTGTCCTACTTTCATTTTATTTCTAGATTTATAATTTTCAAGATTCTCCTCATCATTCCAGCTCTCACGGACTGTGTCACTTCAACTGGGAACGTATTCTTCGTGAAATTATGACTCCGCAGAGTCTGAATAAACCAAAGTATCGATCACCTGTTGGACTGTGAAAAGCCTAGACCTACTTCACTTTCCTGTCGAAGTGCTTGGTTCATCAGCCGCTCATTTCATTGTGAATTTTCAGAATTTTTTCATGTAAAACAACACAAGTTTTATCCAAACACACGAGGGCAGATATCAAGGAAGACTATCCACGAGATCTGATTTTGATTGGCTAGTTATTTTTAGTTTGTGACTCATTGTTTTCTCATAGTACGCGAATTCCCGACATTGAGGGACAGCAGTTTAGCGACAAGTTAGGACATTCCCGTAATAGCGGGCCAGCGGTCTGGTAGAGTTAAAAGGAAGCCCTAAATTATTCCACTCTTACGACATGCTTATGGGGGGGGGGGGGGGGGGCAGTGGGTCTATTCTTATTTTCCCCACCGTAGGACCCTAGAACCCACATGGGGAAGCAAAAGTAGCTAAAACTAATAATTTATGGACAAGTAAAAATACAGTAAAAATATCAGTTTAGGCGGGGGGGGGGAAATTCCCAAGAACGCATGGTGAGTTGTTTGGGACTTAAAGAGTTGATGTCTCTTAGCGTCTCTTGCTCAAATCTGCCTCACCTTCACATGGTAGGCAATGTTCTTCCCAGTAATTCAGCAAAAGACTGGGGATCTCAATCTTTAGCAGGATAGGAGATAAAATGAGATACAGGCAAAATGATGCAGAGATCCTGAAGTTAAAAATACTGGCTAAAACGCAGATAAGTATGCAAATTCTGTTACAATAGTTGAATAGACCGTCGGATAAATTTAACGTTGGTGCTAGCCCTGTGAGCTTTAACAGGGAGGTGCAGTATTGGATTCTGAGTCTACAAAGTATTCATCTTTACAACCGGAGGACCTCCTAGACCGTCTTGTGAAGACGGCAGAGAATGCTAACTAAAGAGGAGCACCAAAAATTGTAAATTTTGGGAAAAGTGTAAATTAAGGAATGAACTCAAATTGAAATATCTTAGTAGTTATCCTTCATTGTTGTATATTTGTTGTTTCAGGTTGATGTTGTATTTGAAGAGGACAAAGGCTTTTTGGCTACAGTGCAACATTTCATGATGTCCACAAAGATTCCTATTGTCCTGACATCTACAGATGCTTCTTTTCATCTTCAGCTGCAAGCTCGCCATGACCACATACGGTTACGTAAACCACCTCTGGTAAGAAAATATGTTTGTATATTCACTATTATGTGTTGCTTTAAGGCTGGAGGCATTAAAAGTATTTGTTTTTTGAGGTATTTTTAATATTGACAAGAATGACTGCATGGCTTCGAATTTCAGTATTCAATTTCCTATATAACATTGCCATTTTAAAAAAATAACAAAATGTATAAAATCATGAAAATATAACATGATTCATTCTTTCTGCACTTGTTGAAAGTTTCTACAAATGCTAAAAGTGGACCTGTAAGTCACACTGAAGATCAATAAATTGCTGCTTGCTTTTAGCAGAATGATAGAAAACTAGTCATATATGGTAGCCAGGTCTCGGTCAGATAACACTTTTCATCAGTCTAGTCCAGTATACCCAATATACCTGAATGCATGGAAAAAAGATCATTTTTTTCTGTATAACATGAGTGGGTACTACCATGTTCTCTGTTAACCCCAAATGTTGGGCAGAGTATACCAGTCCCGATATCCCACTTGTACAATTTCACCAGAGCTCTTCGGTGTGTATACAATCCATATTGCTGAGCTTAAAGCACCAGGTGGTTGATGGATATTGACATTTGCAGATGGTGTTCTTGCATTTAGGCAGGGGAGCTATAGGCAGCAGACAGCCCAAGAATTACAGATAGTTGTAGACAAAGAGACTGACTGGTGTGCAGTTATCAATTCAGAAAAGGCGGCTATTTTATGGTGCTCTCTAGACAATAGAATTGTAAAAGCTAATGTTCTGAGTCTCACAATTAATAACAGAAACATTAACAGAGAAAGCAGACTGAGGTAGCCGAGTATCATTTTCGATAGAAGCCTGTCCTCTAGTGATCATATGGAGGCATTGGCGGTAAAATGACAAAATACTTAATGCTCTCAAGATTATGTCAGCAATGGACAGGGAACAAAGAATGCTGTTCACAATGTTCCAGCTTGTGATTCTATTGGTGATAGATTATAGGCTTGGAATGCTTAACATTTCACATATCTTGGCAGTGTGGTGTTCCTACTGGGAGGGACAGGGGAAGACATATAGTCACGCCTGAACAAAGCTAGAGCTGCTTTTGGAAGCATGAGGCAAATCTGGAAATCCAACAATTACTGCAAAGGAACAAAACTCAGACTCTACAAGAGCATCATTTTGCCAGTTCTTCTTTATGGAGCGGAATGCTGGAGAATGACCAAAACGGATGCACACAAGCTGTCCACCTTCCACCACACATGCCTACGTAGAATTATCAAAATTTTCTGACCAGATACATTCTCAAACACTAAACTACTTCAAGCCACAAACCAAGAAACGTTAGACAGTATGATTACCAAGAGAAGATGGAAATGGCTTGGCCACGTTATGAGAATGACTTCTGATATACCTGTCAAAACAGCTCTCACATGGACACCAGAGGGAAAGAGAAAACAGGGGCGGCCAAAAACAACATGGAGACGAACGATGGAAAGTGACCTGAGTGCAGCATCTTTGACATGGAAAACTGCACTGAAGATTGCACAGGACAGGAACACATAGAAAGTCCTCTCTGAAGCCTCATGTGCCACTAGGCATAACGAGAACTGATGATGATGAATGCTTACCATGTCAAAGAGTGATAAACTTGAATGCATACAGAATGAAGCCATGCAGGTAATTCTGGGATGTGCGAGAGACACCCTGGTAGTATGTATGCGATAGATATTTGCACTGCCTACTATTGTAAATAGCCTCAAAGTTCTGCAGACAAAGTCATATATTGGAGTAGCTGCAGACAAGAAGCACCTCCTGCGTGAAGTCTTAATTAGAGCTAATAGTCACAGACTGAAAAGAGGAAGATCTTGGGTGATGCAAGCAAGCTGAAGACACAGTTAAACAGGCGTGCAGAGTTGATACATTTTGGTGAGGAGAAGAATGTTAAAGTGTCCAAGCAAGAATCAGGCTTGTGAAGGGTACAATTTAATTTAGGTCGGGAGTGCAGAGACTGGCCAGCTGGTATTACAGAATAAGAAGTTCAGCAAATGATTCCTGGCAGTTTCTGCCCAGGTGATGTGATTATCTTTACAGATGGCTGTGTGTTGGGCAGTAGACAAAGTGCGCAGGGGTTCATAGCAAAAGCAGATTGACACAGCGTCAGAGAAGGAGGTCGAGGCAGTTTCTGCTGCTTTCCGTTAGACCGAGAATCAGCTGTTCACACATGTTGTAATTGTAACTAACTTACAGAGCATGTTGAGAAAGGTAAAGACAGACATGCTCTGTGCAGAGTGGCTAGTATCGTTTCAGAGAAGCTGGGTGGTTAGTCTCCTTTTGATATTTTCTTTAGGTCGTGCTGCGAAATGAGCAGGCAGATAGACTGGCCGTTTCTGCACCATGGTGGTGAATGAAGGTATGACAAGCTAGATATTATGAGGGCCCTTTGAGGGCGAGTGAATAGTGCGAATGCAAATATAAACCATTACGGTCTGGGGAGAATGATGCTGTGAGGAGTTACAAGAGTATCTGGACGATGCTCATTATTCAAGAGAAAGGCAAGACGGATTATTAGTGAGTGCCATCGGAATTGGACTCTTTGTTTGCTTCTGAAATGAGGATGGAGCGCTTGTGGGAGTGTCCAAAGTGCTATGATGCAAATTTTTAATTTAACATTTAACATTCGTTGGCACAGAATAGTGGAACTATGGACGACTCATTTGGCATGAATGAAATTGGAACTGCAATTACCTTATTACCTGTTCTAGAGAATGTTTTTGATTATTTTTCATTAACATAATGGGGTACAGGCAGTATATGGCCTGGCATACCTCCCAGATGTGCATTATAGTTACATCAGCACTTAATGAAGCGCAACAATTTTTTCCCATTTAAGAACGACCAAATAATTACTTTGGCAGTTAAAAATTTACCACATTCTCTTTTTGTTTACACATTTGATTCATTTTCTGCCTATGTAACTCTGTAGTAATGCACCCGACGAGATAGCACAAATTCTGTGCATTGTATTGTTTCCGTTGCTGTATTTTAATTTACACTGAAAAACATTTGTATATTTAATTCATTACAGGTTTCAGCTGCCAGTTTCTTAAGCACCATATGTCTGGCTCATGGAATACGCATCAGTCATCAATCAGTCTTAAATGCCTTACATTACACCAAAGGCGATATTCGACGCTGCCTGCTCAATCTGCAGTACTGGTGTGAATCTGGAGGTGGAGTTGTTCAGATTGATCAAGACATCGATTGGAACTCAGTTAAGAGCACTGATAATGTCAGTGAGAAATCTGTGACAGGTAGTCTCCTTGCGAAAACATTCAGGTCAAGAATAGTCAGCACTGATGACAGTAATGACAGCGATTTTATTTCTTTGAGACCTCCGAGAAAGAAAGCAAAACGAATGACTTCAGATGATGACAGCTCTATGGATACTGTTACATCGACTGAAATTTCCAGCATTTGCTTATCACATTCTAAAAAAATTGGGACTGTTTCTATAAAGAGAAAGGAAGTCAAATCAAAGAATATTCCAAGCAGGAATCAGATGAATGTAATTACAGAAGATGCAAGTGGCAGGGAGAGTTGTCAGCTGCCATTAGTCCACACTGGGTTTGAAGAGAGCTTGTTAGGACTTCATGGCTTTGATATGTCCCTGGATGCTTTGATGGATTTGATAAAGGTAAGTTTAACTTTGATATTACTGTTGTTTCAGTTTCCTTTCAGTGGGTGTAAATCACAGCTAGCTAAGCATATCTCTTGAATGCATTATACATTAAATACTATTGCTGCATAAAAGATGAGTGGTTGGAGGGACTTAATGTAAGTTGACCTGTGTGTGTCCAGTTTGTGACTTGTTAATGATAAAGTTAATTCAACAAAATTTGATATGTGGCCATCAGGACATCTATGAATGTCAAATTAAGAATTGACATTACAGCACCCGGGACATTCCCATAAGCGCCCTAAAACTTATCTTCAGCAGCAGGCACAGAGTTTCAATTCCAACGAAACTAGTAAAAGTCTGTCGCCTGTCTTTTGAGTGTTGGCCAGATACCCTGATCACCCTTGCAGCATCATGCTCTTTATACCAGTGATTCCCAAACTGAGCTGCGGCGCCCTAGGGAGCCGCGACCTCTTCACAGGGGCACTGCGAAATATTCGAAGATACCCTTTTTTTTTTTTATCTCTAACATTCGAATAGTCCTAGCTTTACTTAGGTTAGGGTGCCGTAGGAAAAAATTTTAATTGAAAAAAGCACAACGACCGAGAAAAGTTTGGAAAACACTGGTTTAGACCATGATGATCTGTTTGTGCCTCCACACTATTCACTCGCTCCCAAAGGATCCTTGCAACATCTTGCTTGTCATGCATCAGTTCATCTTCAGATCTTCAGGTGGTGCAGAACCAGCCAGTCTATCTGTTCATTTTCCCTCACATCGGCATTACTACCTGTTTTTACCACTTGGGGGGGTAGGGTCTTTGAGTCACATCAGCATAACCTGGAGAAAATATCTAAAGGAGGCAAACTACCTGGGGCCTCTGAAGCAATGCTTGCCACTCTGCATGGAGCATACCTGTCGCCACCGTTCTCAGCGTGCTGTGCGAGTACCTACGAAAACAATGAATTAATTTCATTATAGATATACATTCACATGGAATGTGCGTTGCAGATGCCACCCATTGAGTGCTGTGGACCACCATCCTACAATACTTGACAAAGTTAAAGTTATGATGCTGACAGGAGGTTAATGTAGTTTCTTCTTTGCGTCCACCTTCTGTAAACTCTAGCGGAAATTTCTAGGTGTTCATCCACCTTTAATCTTGTCCCAGAAGCTGACTGTTGCATGTGCATCTGTTCACACATCTGGCTTATTTGTATGCAGGCTCTTAGTTCCTTGCCGCTCAGGCAGATGTACTCATGCTACGACTTCCAAATTAGTCGACTCCTGTGACATGCTTGCTGAGGAGGCAATGGATTCATTCTTTTCTCCACAATATAACAGCGGAACCTACATGAGGATAATTTCGTTTGAACAAATATAATTACTAGTTCACACATTCTGAGCTTTTTATATAAATGCATTTCACTCCTCCACAGACATCTGCCTTTAGCTGCCAGATGCTTGACCATGCTGTTGATACGTTCTCTGTGATTACCCAAGCCTTAAACTATGATGTCATCTATCATGTAGCTCTCCATGGTCTTCCATTGCCAACAATTGACCATCCACCAGCTCAGTTGACAATCACTGCTCCGCTTGAACCTGTAGCTTCAGAGGAGTCCTCTGGTATAAAACCCAGAAAGAGAATCATTCAAGGAGACTGGATGGATAGTGATAGTTCTGACGCCGATTCTCATTTGGTGAAACACATACCTCAAGACTTTTCAAACGTTAATGAACATTCTCCAGAAAATTCTCCAAAACAAGCTGATAGTGGTTTACAAGATGAACTTTCAGCCAACTCCATTCCTAAAAAAAGACTTCCAGGAAAAAATACAGTTACAAATGGCAAAAATAAGACAGAGAGTAAGTCAAAAGATGGTAGTAATAGTCTTACAAAGTCAGTCCTGGCAGAATTCTCCAGATACTATGATAATTTATCATATATTGATTGTATGGAAACAAAGTCATCTTCAGCAACCAGTCGTAGTCAAGGAGTTCATGTCTTTCCTGGTCTCAGTGATGATGAGACTTATTCCAGACTGTCTCACCAAACCCTTCAGGACCAGTTGCAGTGTTATACTGGGTCGATGAATGTGCTTGCAGCAAGACAGTTCTGCAGCAGCATTGGAGAGAGCATCAGAAATTATAAACAATGTAGTGGTGGTCATGAAGGCTTCAGAGATTCATCAGATGCAACCAGTTGTAATGGCAGTGATAGACAAGCTGGCGTATATGCCTCTGATTGGCCTGGGGAGCTTAGTTTACCACTACAGAACATATCGCCAGATCTTTGGAGCATGGCAGAGAAGCATCAGAATCGAAAGTAAGTGATGCTTTTATTGATAATGTTTAGTTCATTAGTCGCCATGGTGGAGTGGCTATACGCTCGCTGTAGATCGGAAGGTTGTGGGTTCGCTCCCTAGCGGAGCCGGAGTTTTTTAATTTTCAAATGGCCTTGACCTCTAGGTCGACCCAGCCTTGAGTGGATACCACCTCGTCACCCGTTTTGTGCCAATTGGTCTACAAAATATAGGTCTAGCCCTATATGCCTTATACGCCTATAGGCATGGAAAAGGGTCCTTTCCTTTTTTTTTTTTTTTTTTTCAAGTTCATCAATTGGTATTTATAACCTCAGCAGTGTTGTGTTTATCTTTTTTTTTTTTATTTATGTAACAATACAGTAATCTTCTTTTATTTATCTTCATATAATCATATCAAATGGCATTAGTAGTCGTGTCTGTCCACAAAATTTATGTCTTGTGTGCTTTCAGTCAGTTCTGACACAGATGATCTTCCATACCGTGATGTCAGACTGTACAGCATCTTTACTTGCGGTCTCCCTCTGCCTTTTTCCCCCTGCAGCTTTTCCGCCGTCACGATGTACTCCAATTTCCATCTTCTCATCACGTGACCAAAGAATGTAGATTGTCTCCTTCTGATGTGGACAATCAATTCTCTAAGTGGGTCAGTTTCTCTCAAGACATCTTCATTACTCTTTTTTTATCTATCCAGGGTATTCTCATCATTCATCTAACACCATATCTCCGCTGCTTCCACATAATTTTTGACTAATCAGGCAGTGGTCTGATTCACTTCTGTATATCAAGATAAGGGACTTGCCACGGCTTTGACGGCTAGACGCCTCCCTAAGTGTCGGAAGGTCGTGAGTTTGCGTCCTGGCGGAGCCAGCCTCTTTTTTTTTTTTTTTAAAGAAATGCCATTGATTCCCAGGTTGAGTGGATACTAGGTGCAGTCCTGTGAAGTAAAGGCGGCCATCGTGGTGCTGACCACATCACCTGATCTTTACAAAATATAGGTCCAGTCCTATATTCCCAATACGCCTAAAGGCATGGACAAATTGACTTTTACTATATCAAGACAGGATTTATATAACTCTTGGGATTCTCCTTCTCACCTCAGTTCACAAAGAAAAATTATTTACAACATACTTCATTTTGTAAAATACTGACATTGCCTGAGCTATTCTACATTTAAATTGTTTGACACATCTTTCATCTGCTGTTATCAGGGTGCCCAAGTACTTTAATATAAAAGCTGCCTTGAGGATTGTCCTATATCTTTGATGTTGCATTTTGGAGGGTCCATTTTTGTGGTTTACCCATAGCAGTGATTAATTACTTAACCCTTTGCTGTCTGCAGAAGAAAGGTTGGCTACAGTATACCACTGCAGGCTTTGAGACAATTAAGTATGGTGGGTTGATTGGCTGGTTGGAATTTAACAATAAGACAGCCCCAATCTAGGGGTTAGCTGCATGTGATGGCAAGGGATAGGACAACAGTGCTGCAATTTGATTGTGGGCCTTTCCTTCATTTGGGCATTCATGGCAGAAAAAGTGATGGTTGGTTGGTTATAAACACTCTGGGAGACTGAGTTTTAACTCGTTGGTTAAATCTTTTAGTCCCAGGCAATGCTTGATGTGTTATTTCTTTTAACATTCAGTCAAAAGTATACTAAAGGAATCTGCCATCCCAAATAGCCGCAGCCACTTCTAATGCCTGTTTTTGTCTCTATAAAAGCAATGCACTCGTAGATTTCTTTTGGTGATTGTTGCTATCAACCCTCTTTTGGACATCTACTTCAAAATCTTCTGGTACTTAAAGAGTCAAGTCCAATGCCCTGGTGTTCAAGTCATCTAGACCCTAAAAGGAAAATCAGGAAGAAAATACAGATAAAAGAGAAAATGATTGCAGGGTTCTGTTCACGTTTCCCGGCCCATCTATACACTACTTGACCTTTCATTCATACTTTTTAGACTCTTCTATGTCGGAGGGGTGTCACAATTTCTTCCCTCCAATTACATCAGCGCAAATGTCGTCTGTTCTATACTATATGAGGATACAGCTTTCAACGACCCTAGAACATCTAGAACTGGCCCTAACCCAGATCTCCCTACCCACAGCTTTAACCTAGGTCATACATGAGACTCTTTTTAAAAAAAAAAGCAGTACAGCGTGATGCCTCTCTGACCTAGATTTGACTGAGAAAGTGTGTAGATGGGTCAGGAAATGTAAACAGGTCCAATTGCAGATTATTAAGAGTAAAGCTTTTGAAAAGAGGCATTTTAAATACATGTAATCACAATAGTGGTACAGACAGAAAGCCCCTCAGATTGTGGAAGTCTTTTCTTAGTGTGCACGGGTCTTGCTAGTCACACTCGACATGACCATTGGGCTGTGATTCTCCTGCCTTCCTACAGCACAGAATAAAACTGTTGTCTGGAAAGACAGACGGGTGCCAACAACATCACGGTGAGATTTGTGGAGCAACTTCTCTTGTTGCTGGGTACCAAAGTATGCTAAAAAACATAAATTGTCACCTCTGTGATTTACAAATGATTTTTGGTTCTCTCTGAATGAGGTATTTTCTTAAATTTCACAGCTTGTCAAGTGAATCGGCTTTTAAAAATGTAATCAAGTGCCTACACCCTTTAGTTCAGAGTTCGGATCCTGCCTTATGTTTAGATTATCTGCCATACCTCCGGGATATCTGTCGGTCAGAGGATGGAAGGCGACTGGCAAAAACACAGAGAAGGTTAGTGTTTGATTTGTCTGTGTGTTTTTTTTTTTTTTTTTCTGCTTCTCTCAGCCTCTCTCTATTTTTCCTCTCTGTCTCTCTCCTTCTCACTACCTTCTATCTTTCTCTCTTTTAAGACAGTGTGCAATTATTTTGTATTGTCTTCTCATTGTTAATTTTAAAAACTGAGGCCAAATAATGGTTGCTCCATAAAATCTAATGTGTTGTATAACAAGACTATTCAAATAAGTTTACTGAGGGCCAAAAAAGGAACCCCAGCATAGATACATCATTAATACAATACAACTGAAAATAATCAACGGCCCACCAGGTGAATAGCTCTGTTCTATAAGAAGGTTGTATTGAATTCATCTAAATTTTACTTTTGTGTCTTTTTTACTTTCTGTCTTTTCTTTTGTAGAGATCCTAAAAATCTTCATATACTTTGAGTATCCCAGTGTGGATTCTCTGGCCCTGCTGTGGGAAAAACATCTTTCCCCAGCGGAAAGGAATAACCAACTGACCGCACATGCGTAAGCCAGTAAAATGGATGTAAATGCAAAACTCAGACCCTGGCACAAAGCCAATTTCTGAATGGGAATAAAAAAATTCTTTACCCCGGAGCTTATAGCCGGTAAACAAAGAAGAAGAACATATACCCTCAGTAGATTTTCTTCCTGCTACATATACATTATATGCATGTATAGAGGATTGCACACGATAGAACGACATGGAGGCCCAGTGTCACATATAATGGCACAGCATGATGATCATGATGGCAGTAGACATAACCAATCATCATGGCAGTAGACACAACCAATCATCATGGCAGTAGACATAACCAATCATCATGGCAGTAGACATAACCAATCATCATGGCAGTAGACACAACCAATCATCATGGCAGTAGACATAACCAATCATCATGGCAGTAGACATAATCAGTAGATTTCACATTATGGTCCAGACCGATACCACCATAACTTCAGGTTCTTCTTCATCAGCTTTTTGAGCTCTTATGATTCACTGATGTAGATATTTATTGCCTCCACTCACCTCTGTGACTGGTCCTCTGTGTCCTTCCAGGTGGTGACTGACTGCAAGTGTTTGCAGGTCTGCCAGAACCTATCACGATATTGTCCGCACAGTGAGAGTTACTTTCTGTCCCATTCATGCCACGGCCTGTCACAGGGCCCATCCTAGGTTGTAGGGGTCTTATGATATGACCTCCTTTGGTGTTTGCTCACCATATGCAATGTCTGTGGGAGGTTGTGTTGTCATGAGTTTCTTTGTGACGGCTGCCAAGGAAAGTAGAAATGCAAAAACATCACAGTTTTGATACTCACGAACCGTTTTGCAAGTAGCACAATGTGCCAATAATCTCACAAGTGAGCGAAGACAACATGGGAAAAGAAAGAGCGGTTGAACTGTTAAAAATAAGAAGTACATGACACCTCACAACATACGACAGGCCATGTGACCGTCCGTGGCATGAATGGGTTGGGAAGTTAATCTCGCTGTGAGGACAATATCAAGATAAGAACCGGTCTGCCTGTATATTATCTCTACACCATCTTGGTCTACCTCGTGGTCTACGACTAAACTCCCTTGTGTACACAGTTTTTACCTCTCTGTCATCTGATATTTTCTCAATATGTCGCAGCCATTTCAGTCTATTAGCCCTAATGATGCCACTGAACGATGTTGATCTAAACAGATTTTGAATTAATTTCATAGTTGCTTCTCACTCTCTCCCCCCCCCCCCCCCCCCCCCCCCCCCCCCCCCCCCCCCCCCCCCTTTTCCAATTTTTTTTTGGGGTTCTAAGACTTTTCAAACATTGGTAATACAGCCTTATCTTTTTTAAAAACTTCACATTGGCAAATTGTAAGAAGAAAGGCAGAAGAAGAAAAAGTAAGCAAGAGTAAAGGATCCTTTGCCGCGCCTTTAGACGTATAAGGCATATAGGACTAGACCTATATTTTATAGACCAACGGCACAAGATAGAAGAAGAAAGTGCAAACTTTTATTCTGCTATTTAAAGACATTTCGCTGCTTCACTTGTTGCTTGTGTACAAAATAATAGAAAACATGCTGATTATTGTGTATTTATTTGTGAATGCTGTAAGTTCATATAAAAATAAAACAAACATTGAGTCAGTCATACAACATGGATATAATTACAAATACGTAATGTGATGGTTTTAGCTAAATTGATTGTGTGAAGCAAAATATGAGGAACATAAGATCAGTTGTGAGGGTGAACATATTCTTAACTCAGCTGCAAGCAATGCATGATATGTGTTTAGCCGATACTCATCAGTCCCATCTATAATGTAATGTAGTATGTTCTTTAATTTTCTTTACTTATATCATGATAAAAACCTCTGACTTCACGTGGTCACCTTCGTTATGGATCCTTTGGAGCAGTGGAATCCAACCTTTTTCATGTGTCCCCCTCCCTTGAGAATGTGGCTCGACCCCCCCCCCCCCCCCCCCCCCCCGGGAGTAAATGGCAAGACCTCCACGCCCCCTTGAGATATGGCAAGCCCTTTCTGCCCTACCCCCAGTGTAACAAAATAGTATAAAAAAGAGGAGGAATGTTTTCTTAATCTATAATTAAATGGAGTTATCATGGTAATTGTGCTTTGTGGTGCCGGGTTCGATCCCAACTGCGGATGATTTGTCTTGGGATGGTTTCGACATTGGTACCGTGTGTTGACTGTTCAGAAGGCATTGGCACACTACAGGACTTTCTCATGCCCCCCCCCCCCCCCCCCCCAGGGAGTCGCATCTCCCAAGTTGGAGAACACTGCTTTAAAGTATGTTCCAAACCAATCACAGCATTTAATGGCTGTTGCAATTTTTAACTAGGCAAATTTTGTTTGTACATTAAGTAGTTTGCCATTGCTTTCTAAGCAGTCAATTATCAATACTATTGTAAAAAACTCAGTGCAAAGCAGTCTGCTGTCAAATTGCCTGCATATGGAATCGAACTAGGAATTATAAATTACTTAACCTTAAAGAACATAATATGCCAACTACTGGAAAGTCATGGACTTATATGATATTTTACAGCAGTTATTTCTGCTGTCATAACATTGTTGTTGAGACAAAAATAAAGATAAAAGCTAGATGTATGACATCTTTCAGTACTAGGTCTATGGATGGATAAATGGCAACTTTCCTAACCGAGTGAATAACACTTTTCTAACTAATCTAATAATGGCACATTTACATTTCAGAATAACATTCAAACACAACAGTATTTCAATACTTTCTTAACAAATGAATTATAATTATAAATGCATTATAAAAACTAGTGACGAACAACATTCAGGGATATGTATAGAAAACATGGCACAGTCTCTTTTGTATAAACTAGCAACAGCAAAATATATATATGTTTTTTAATAAGATGTGACTTCTATCACAAAACAGTAATTTAATTTCTGTTAATTAACTCTTTCAGTTCCAGGCGATATGTGATGTTTTACTTTCTCCCCACGTATCAAACATCACACGAAGTGTCTTCTTAAATTTTAGTTTTGGTCAGTATATACTAAATAAATCTGGCAAACACAGAGTTGTCTTTCATTCATTGTTCATTCCTACAATGCAGAAAATGGTTAGAATTTTTTTGGCAATTTTTAATGAAAACAGTAATTATTTTTGTACAAAACTTGAGGCGCCCAAAAGGTTAAGAGGGAACATAGGACAGCAGTAGTTGGAGCTATCAATAAATTCAGATTTCTTTGCAAATTTACATTTGTGAGTTGTCTTCAGGAAACCATGTTGTAAAATGGGTAATGTGAGTATTTAGTGCAAGAATCGTTTGTTTTTAAACAGACCTATCTCCACTGAAGTGGTAATATGGTCAACTGCACACTCGCTGCCTTTGCTTTTATTGTCCATAGCATTTTCTGGTAGCCATTTACAGAGGTAATGTATCAGTGATCAGCTGCATGTATATCACTTTTTCATTCTTTACTTGAACTTTACAATATAAGCAATTGTATTCTCAGATGTAAAGCTGTCTTTTACTTTGCATTTCCCAGTAGTGTACAGCTTTGTCACAGCTCAACAAATGTAATTTATACATTTAGAGGGGTCGGTTCATTTAACATAAATATCATCATCAAGTGCTTTGCCGACGGGCGTGGGCAGTAATGCTTCTGCACATCTTGCATCTCTGAAAGCATGCATGTATTAGTTCATTTGGTGGACACCTTTCCATGCTACGATAAAAGCTGCCCAAGATGATCTCTTCCTGTCTTATCTCTTTTTCCTACATCAGCAAACAACAGAAGCATCAAGGACAGACTAAAATATATGGCAAAGATATGAACAGTACTTCTTAGTTGGTCTTGAACCCTTCCACTCTGTGAATGCTAAAAAACAAAAAAGTCCTGAATCCATGGAAATTCCTAAAAATAAAATCCTTTTGTTTTAAATTTAAAAAAAAATATTTTTACAGGTAACTAATCAATTGTTTAAAAATTTATTTATTGAGATTTTTTTTTTTTTTTTAAATCTTTGAAAGAACATAAAATGGGTGTAATAAGTAAACAAGAACAGAGTGAAGCATTAAATGAAATTTTTCCTCTGGGGCCTAATGCAAATATGTATTTTGTGGCTCATGCTGTCACTTCTATCACTGAGGCTTAGGGGAAAGTGTTAAGTCAGCCAAGCTTTCAAAAAAGCTATTGGATCTTTTGTTTTGTCACCGCATACTCCAATTTAATAATTACAATATAATCATAGTAATTAGAAATCCAGATTAAGCACTGGATGCCTGTAATCCTGTTTTATCCATCCAGTTACAATTGATTTGTTTAGGCTGACATATTTACCAACAGAACACAACTACAAAGATAGAAATGCCAGAATATCCTTTCCAAAAATATGAGTCACCAGAACTATCAGCAAAACAAAGCTGGTTTCTATGGAGACTGGAGCATGATTCCCACACCTGTCCTCACACTCTTCTAGAGTTTCAAAATTGTTCTCGTTACCCCCACATCCTCCATAACGAAACTCCCCACACGTCTGTGTTTCAGAGTTGTAGTAGTAGCGAAATATCATACCTTTGCAATTTCCTGCGTCAGATTTAAGTTCGCATATGTTGTCTGGAATAAAAGTTAAATATATTATAATTGTTTTAGGTTATTAATGGGTGCTGTTAACAAAGCATGGCAGTTAAATTCAGTTTACGGTTATTGATAGTTGCCGTTAACAAAGAATGGCAGTTAAATGGTACATTTATTGATGGTTACTGTAGGCAAAGCATGGTTAGGACTCCTGTCACAACACTCCAGGCACACCTGTAGCTTCTGAAATCTACACTGTTATGATCTATAAGTGTTTTGCTATAAATCACTGTAATAATCCATCCTTATGTGGCAATTCAGTCTGTTCTGCAATAATCCATCAGTGTGTAGTGGCTACTATCCATTCTGTGCTGAAATAATTTGTTAGTCTGTAGCTACAATCCATTCTTCTAGCTGCAATTCAGTCTGAATAATACACCGGTGAGCAGCTAACATTCAGTCTATGTTGACATAATCCATCAATGTGCAGCTACTGTTAAGTCTACTGAAATAATCAACCATCTACAATCCAATCTGTTCTGGAGTAGTCGATTAGTCTGTAGCTACAATCCAGTCTCGAATAAATTATGCATCCAAGTACTGCTACTATCCAGTCAGTGCAGCAATAATCCATTAGTGTGCAACTACTATTCAGCCTGCTGAAATAATCCATCAGTGTAGCTAAAATCCAGTCTACTCTGGAATAATCCATTAGTCTGTAGCTACAGTCCCATCTGTAATGTATCAATATATAGCTACTGTCCAGTCTATGATAAAATATTCTGTTAGTGTGTAGTTACAGACCAGAATAATCCAGTAGTCTGTAGCTACAATTCAATCTAATGAGGATGAAAGTTCTAGAAATATTTAACAGGCAAATTTGGGTTTTTTCCCGCTGTTGGGGTATCAGCAGACCTGTCCGAATATAACTAGAATATCCAGCTATCCTCCGAATAACGGTCCCAAATTATTGAGGCCGAAAATATATCCTAACAGTTCCTCAGTCACGTGTAAATTGCGGACTTCCGGAGACTATACCGCCACCGCCGAGAGTATCCCCCAGTGGATTGGGGCTAAACTAGATGGCTGGGACTCACAAGCAAATAAAATGTAGGAAGCTGCAGGAGATGCGGTAGCTGCTGCTCGTGAGTCCCAGCTATCTAGTTTAGCGGTAGCAAAAGACGCCGGAAGTGCACAATTTAAGTCGCTGGAAGTCTGCAATTGACATGTGACTGAGGCCCTGTTAGGGTATATTTTTATCCTTGAAAATTTGGGACTGTTATTTGGGGAATAGCCTAATATCCTTATGGTGGATTGGGTATAAAGTGCTGGACCTTCATTTTTTAGCCCAATTGACACTATGGATAAAGGACACACAGCGGATAAAGTAGTCAACATCACCCCAGCCATCTCTATTTCCAAGGAAATACCTGGCACCCTTTTTAGGCCTGGTCAGCCTGGAAGCCAAGATTAATTGTGGGTGAAAAAATCTGGCTCGATACAGATTTTAACTCTCAACCTTGGGGGCCTGCACCCGTGTGTCTAGCCGCTACTCCACGGCAGCTCCCAAAGAAGCAGAAGGGAACCAAAATTACATAGAGATGATAATTTGATTTTTGGGGTTAATAATACGAGAAGGACATAGACTGAGCTGCACTCAATGGCAAAAGTTAAGATGATTTGTTGGGTTTCTTGAGGGGCTGTTCTGCATTGCAAGTTAAAGGGGTAGAAGAAGAAGGATGAGAACTACTCTTTAAATGCTGAACTCCCCATGTGAGTTCTGAGGCCCAGTTTTGACGGGAAAAAGAATAGACCCGCCGCCTTATCCTGATAAGCATGTCCTATAACTGGACTAACTGGAGGTTTTCTTTCAGAGTCAGAGTGCATCTGCCTGAGAGGTGAGGAAGCAGCAGTCTGCATACAAATAAGCCAGATCTGTAAAACTGATGTGCATGTAAAACTCAAGTTTTGGAACAAGACTCAAGTCCACAAGTGGATGAACAACCAGAACTTTTGGCGGGAGCTTACAGCCGGTGAACGAGAAGAAGAAGAAGAAGAAGAAATGCTCAACAACAACACAGTTCTTGAATAATAAAACTGGTATTATTGATACTAAAGTATTTGATAACTAAACATGGTATGTAACAAGACTTTACCTGTACTTTTTCGTATGCAATCTTTTTCACATTCTTCAAACGTAGCAAACCTGTTATCATTGCCTTCACAGCCACCATAGATAAATTCCTTGCACGTGTTAGCACGAGGATCAAAGTAGAATCTTTGGATGTTTCCTTTGCATGGACCCTCTTGTTTGGCTAAATAGCAGTAGTCTGCTGTAAGAGAGATCACAATCAGTATCATGTTTTTTTCCCATGTGGGTTTCAGGTTTCCCTTGGGGATGGAGAGCATGTTTTAAAATGTGACTAAAGGTTTGCTGAAATCCAATGTGTTGGTCTGAAAGGCACATACATTGCAGCTTAGCTGTAAACCATAACACAGAGTACCAACCACCCTTTTGAGGGTGAGGTCAATCCACAAAAAGAAGAGATCATTTCTTCTGAATTGGTACCATTGTAGCGCTGGTACAGTCAATATGTAGGTCTGGGTTCAGCCCTCGGGTAATGATTGCTTGGGTTTAAGGACCATCATCTTATTCACTGAACTGCCCATTAGTGGTCTGACCTATCTGTTTATCTGTCTGTATATCTATCTGTCTGTATATCTATCTGTTTGTCTTTATATCTTTCTGTATATCTATCTGTCTGTATATCTATCTGTCTGTCTTTATATCTTGCTGTATAGTGAATTCTTAATTAAACATTAAATAAATTGGGAATATTCGGAGACAGAATCGAATAAAAAATGGGTACTGAAATGGAAAAATGTTTGAGGAAGCAAAGTCATCGAAGTTAACATCTAGAACAAACATCTTTGGTTTGGTAAAGATGCCATGCATTCTTCATACCCCATCTTTACATTACACCAAATAGCTCTATACCACCTGTGACCACTGTTATAAGTGAAAGATCACAAATACACTAGGAACACTCTGAAACAGTAAAGTATCACAAAACAGGTGCTGAACTAAGAAAAAAATTTATTGATGGAATGGGGTCATCCAAGCTAAAAATGAATAGGGAAGAAAGAAAAACATGGACAGTACAGAAGGGGTTAGAGCAGCGGTTCTCAACCTGTGGGAATGGAACGACCCTTTTAAAGGGGTCGCCTAAGACCATAGAAAAACGCAGATTCACTGAAGTTATGAAGTATCAACCAAAAATAATTTCTTGTTTGTGTGTGGCCACCTCATGAGGAACTGTATTAAAGGGTCGCGGCATTAGGAAGGTTGAGAACCACTGGGTTAGAGCAATTAAGTATGAGTCATTTGGGACCTACAGCAACACAACAGTGCCATGGTCGAATCAACAGAATTGTTATATGCTCAGCAGTCCGGAAATTCCCATGTTAAGAATTCCTGAAACTCACCTGCAGTTCGTGTCATAGACACACATGCCTTGTCACACTCCTCCACGGTCCCAAAGTTGTTGGAGTTGCCTTCACATCCCCCATAAATGAACTCCTTGCACGTGTTGGACTCTGTGTCATAATACAGGCGAGGTATCTGCGCTTTGCACTTTCCTACCTCGGGTTTCAAAGAGCAGTCAACTGCAGAAATAATTATGACATTTTTTTTAAAGCTGCGAAACAGAAGAAAAGATATGTCTGCGCTTTGATACGAACATATTGTAATAAGTGGCACTGTGAAGAAATAGTTCATTGATTCTTGGTGGAAGGATATAAAACCGAACGAAAAATAGTTTAGCGAGCTTCACAACATAACACAAATAAAACATGAACGTTGCGGCTATAGAGCCTTCATCAAAACATACATAAATCAAACAAAACCACACGATACACTGAATAACTTAACTAAGTATCCGGAAGCAGCCACGTTTATGTCTTGCCAGTAGAATGAGACACATGGGACCTCGAATATAAATAGCCTTGGATTCTTCGTGTATCACATCCTTTTTTTTACCGAGATAGGTAAGTGGCGTGTACAGAGCAGTTCGTCCATTACTATTTCTTTGCTCAAGAATGGGTTGAAGTAGCCTTAACTCTTTCCGATCCCAGGCAGCGCATGATGATGTTTAATGGACTCTTCACAATAAAACCCAGCCATAGTACAGAGCATTCATATATATACATTTGGTCAGAGTACACCAAAGGAACCTGGCTTCCTTCAGTAGCCACTTTTGCTGTGCATTTATGGTGTTTTAAATAAAGTTCTGTAGTTGTGAAATTTCGTAGTGATGGCTTCTCCTGCAAGACCTACTGGGTCTGATAGAGTTAAGACAATGGCTAGACCCCCCCCCCCTCTCTCTCTCTCTCTCTCTCTCTCTCTCTCTCTCTCTCTCTCTCTCTCTCTCTTTCTCAATGCTAATCTGTACGAGTGGTTTTATTTCTCAGATGATTTATTGTGTGTAATTTCCGGCCCCAGACCTTTACGGCACTGTAGTGTGAGCCGGTGACATCTGCTTCTTAAGCAAATACGGGAGAGCTACGCCCACTGGGGTAAACTGTTTGCTTGGCGGTAATAAAATATACTCGAGACGTTGTATAGAATCTGTAAATATACGCTCTGCTGAGCTGTCGACACCCCCCCCCCCCCCCCCCAAAAAAAAAAAATGCCGTTCGTCACTGACTTTGGAAAGAACTGGGTACGAATGCAGAATTCAGACCTCATCAACACAGGACAACTTTGCAGCTGTCGGGTTTCCTAATATAACCGGTTCGTAATTTAACGGAGTTTCTGGGATTTGTTCCTGTTGAATTTACATCCGAAAAGTAGCCTTTTGAGTCACTGGGTGTCAGGGTGCGGAAAGAGGATATGCGAGAATATGGGGTAAAGGAATTGTGGGTATTGGTGGTCGATATATGAGAATGAGATAAAATATTGAAACTAAAGCAGTGAGCATTAGTAATGACAAAAGCAGGAATAGTTATATAGCTGGGCGGGTAGAAGAGTTTAAGAATAAACAAATGAGTTTGATTTCTAAAGAGCTGTACAAACATACATACATACATACACACACACACACACACACACACACATACATACATACATACATACATACATACATACATACATACATACATACATACATATATACATACATACATACAAAGAAGAGTAAATGTAATCTTTTGCTGTCAGACTAGGAAACGAAAACAGTGATATTCATCCTTTCTTTTACCTTGGTGCTACAACAAGCTCTGCTTAGAAAACTAACTCTGTAAGCGTTGCTATTTTAAAACTGACAACAATACTAATTGGGCCGATGGAAAATAACCAGAATAGCTATTAGTGTTTGTTAATCTATGATTGCCCCGACAACACCAGTCCTTGCCAAACAGCAAACATTATATATGGAGATTAAAAAAACATGTTATGCAAAACTAAGATTCGGTTGTTCACAGCACTAGCTATTAGTAAATACATTTACATAATGGATTTGTAAAACATTGGCCTTAACAGCTGAACTCAAAGGAAGATACAAGCATTTGAAAAGTTTTATTCAAAAAAATGGCAGGCAAATTATACAGAGACTACATTACAAACGAAGAGGTTCGCCATATAATTATAAAGCACATAGTCAGCTATTTAACTACAGTGAAAAGGTGAGAAATGCACCGGTATGGACATGTAATAAGATCTAAGGCCTTTCAAAAACAATACTGCAAGGCTCACTAGAGGGGAAGAGGCAAATCAAGAAAGAGCTGTTTACAGAACCTGACTGACTGGACAGGCCTCTGGCATGCAGCCATAAAATCCATCGCAACTGACCGCAAAGGGTGGAGAGAGCTTATAAGTCAACAGAAACTGGTGACCCAGCGACACGCAGTGTTACTGGATGATTATGATGACTGTTAGAAATGACCGTTTCGTACCTTTGGTGGCGTTCTTGACGCATGCGGCTTGGCATTGCTCCGCATTTTCGAAGTTGTTGTCGTTGCCGCCACACCTGCCATAGGTGAACATTTGACAAGTGTTGGTGTCTGCATCGTAGTATAGGCGTGGGGTGGAGGCTTTGCAGTCTTCTTGCTTCGGTAAGAGGGAGCACCGGTCGCCTGAAACTGAGTACACGGTTGAAGTAGGTTAGTTGTCAAGACGAGATTCTGAAGACAAATTAGCGATTATAACCTTCTTCTGCTTCGGCCCCCTTACTTCTCCGTCTTTTTTGTTTTGTTTTTGTTTATTTGTCTGCAGCCTGTTTATTCATTGTCTCTCACGCAGATGCACTGCGACTTCAAATGAAGCCACCCCCACCCCCAAGTTAGTCGACACTTAAGGCATTACTTTTGGGGAGGCAGTAGGCGGCTCTTCTTGTCTCCCCTAAACGCTTAAACATATTACACATTTCTATACCTAGGATATACCTATACAAAACAAGTTTGGCGTACTCCGCAGCTCAGCCATGGAACTGTCTTCCACAACAGATCAAAAATACCACTAGTCCCTATAGGTACAATCGAAAACTGTTCGAATATTATTTGAGACCCGATTACTTTCCCCCATAGAGGACCAAAAGAAAAATGTGTTTGAAATAGCGCCATTTTCCCTAGATTTATAACAACCACTACGGTTTATTGTAGTTAAAAATGTACTGGTTATTTTGATGCTTTTGATAATGTTTTATTACTTGATGTGTGAATGAAATGATGTAAGAATGGAGGGAGACCTCAAGGGGCAGAATTTTAGACAGGCCTGCGTGCCCAATTCTTAACCCTTTAAAAATAAAGTTTGTTCGTTCGTTCGTTCGCGCCCCCCCCCCCCCAATATGTTTCCTGCAACCGAGACAGGGAGCCTTTACTTCCAGGACATAATGCTGGTATCAGTTTTAGGGCTGATCAACCTGGTAGCCCAGTGTCCTTATTCTCGCTGTCACACCAGACTCAAACCGCCAAGCAGCGGTCTGCAGGCATTTCGGGACTACACTACCACAGTTCTCATAATCCGGGCCTAAAGAGAATAAGGCACCTGGGTATAACCGGAGGGTCTGGCCGGCTCACTGCGCTCAGAAGAAAGGCAAGACGGACATATAACCAGATTGTGACCGGTACCATCAGTATTGGAACTTTGCGCTAGCTGCTGAAGACGAGGACGGAGCACGCATGTGAATGCCCCAGGTGCTGTGATGTCAATTCTTGACTCAACTCATAATCCGTGTCTTAGCCTAAGTTTATGATAAACCTCTGTACGTACCGACAGTTGTTATCTCTCTGACACATATGTTATCGCAGTCCTGCAGTGTCTCGAAGTTGTTGTCGTTTCCCCCACAGCCTCCATAGACAAACTCCTTGCAGCTGTTGCTGGCAGCTTCATAGTAGAGTCTGGGAAATCTTGCCATGCACATTCCCTGCTCTGGGGGAAGGAGGCATCTTTCGGCTGGTAGGATAGAAACAGCAGACAATAAAAGGAGAGATACAAGGCTTTGAACTCAGCATTACATTGACAACATTGACGAGAGCATAGGTTTTTACCTTCACATCTTTTTGATTGGGAGTCGCCTTGGCGTTGGCGGCTAGACTCCCGTCTGCGAATCGGAAGGTCGTGGGTTCGCGTCCTGACAAGAGCCGGACTTTTTTTTAATGACCCTGACTCCTAGGTCGACCCAGCTTTGAGTGAGTACTTGGTGCAGTCTTGGGAAGTAAAGGCGGTCGGCATGATGCTGACTACATGACCCACCAAGTGCCGATTGGTCTATACAAGATATATGTCTCGCCCTAAATTACCAATACGCCTAAAGGCGTGGTAAAGGGACCTTTACTTTACATTCTTTTGATTGATTGGATAATGAAAGAATACCTAACCCCCCAAAAGGCTTCGAGGTGTACTGTGATTATGTCTCTAGTCCCTCTTTTACATAAGTCACTGTAGACCTGATAGATGATTTGGGTCAGTGTCATGCAGATGGTGCTTACTTCCCGTAAAATGTTTGGCTTGGTCAACCTGGGAGCGCGTATAAGTCATCAAAGTCAGTCTAGAAGGGGACTCCAACCTGTAACAAGAACTTTCTAGAAAGAAGGGTGCTGGTAGGCACCACGCATTGCCTATTACGGTAGCGCTGAAAAACAAATTATTACCCCCCAAAAAAAGATGCCGGTACTGAGTACTGTTGCGTACCGCTACACACACACACACACACACACACACACACACACACACACACACAAGCGCCCAGTTTATGGCCATCAGGTTGGCATAGAAACATGCTATAGCCCGTTCCCAAAATCGTGCCCTCAAACTGTTATCATGATCTCGAAAACTCATGTACGGACCACCACACATTCGTGCGTGTGGTCTTAGATGTTCCATACCCTTATGATTGTATAATGAACAATTGCACCAGTGCATCTTTTTTCTTAAAGCGACGAATTTCTTTGATCTTTGTCGGTCTACTAATTTGGTACCCCTAAAAAAGGAAAATACAGTAATTGGCACATCTCGTTTACTTTGAACCACCAGCGTGGAGATTGTTTTGAAAAACATTTCACAAGTACAGCATTGTGGAGTGATTATTTTGATAGCCTATCTCGGATACAATGAAATATTTATTCATCTAACTCACAGAAGGCTAGTATAGAAGGTTGACTACATGATAGTGAAACACCTATGAACTAAATTATAATTATGTAAATGAGATTACGACATTGCGTTCACTATTTAAAAAAAGCATGCCTGGGTTTACCTCTAAAACCTGCAATTCTATATTTTTTTTTTTTTTTAAAGTTCGCATCACATTATTAGGCGTGATGCTGACCATATCACCCACCTAGTGCCGATTGGTCTATTAAAAATATAGGTCTAGCCCTATGTAATGATGTTATAAATAGGGATAATGTCAGGGGATGAATGGCATAATTGGGGAAGTCCCTGAGAGCATGGGTTTCACGGAGATATGGTGAAACGACAGGAAAGAGTGAGTCACGTGTGAATGAGGAGATCTGGGGGATTGAGAATCAGGCGGTGATTCGGTGACTGGGCCCCAGAGAGAAAGGATGGGAAATGAAGCTGTAAAGATGAATGGAGAATGACGGGAGCATGTGGATCTGAATCGGCGAGGAATGAATGATCGAGAAGGCCAGCTGTGATGGTACCTTGTTTGATTGTTAAAGCCAGCCGTGAATATGTTAACGTCTATTGTCCGAATGCTGTAAGTGGATTCTCCTGTGATTCGTGTATTGTGCTATAGTGATATTAAACTCATGAAATGTGGCGCTGGTGTCAACCGTTGTTAGAAGCTGTGTGACCGTGAAGAAGATCATGTCTGCTTTGATTGAGTTGTGAATCTCTAGACATCAGAGCCAGTGTTAACTCTGCACCACAGATAGCCAGTGTGGAGGAGACACAAAAGGGCAGTCATTACACCCTATATGCCCTATACGCCTAAAGGCGTGGAAAAACGTCCTTTACTTATTTTACTTGACTATCACATCATTAACTATAAACACACTGCTTGTATGCCGTGAATTTGTGACTATTTCATGTACCGCGAATAAGGCAACATAAAAACTAGATTATAGTTTACATTACAATTTGTTTTTGTCTACAAGGCGTGCCAAATTTCAACAATTTATACCTGGCGGTTACTGGGTTACAGAAATCTAAAGTTGGGCACAGACTGTAGACACTAGGCTACAGTAGCTTCCTGATATGTCTAGTTTTCAGAATAAATATAGAAGCAGCAAGTCTTGAAAGTTGAAACTGAACTGTTGTACCTTCAATGTATTATTCAATATTGGTAGCAGCAAAACTATGGGGGGAAAAAGGGGGGGGGGGGGGTTCATATTCAGTGGAATAAAGGAATAAAGTAAAGGATCCTTTTCCACGCCTTCAAGCATATTGGGCATATACTTGTAGACCAGCAGACTCGATGGGTGATCTGGTCACCATCACGATAGCTACCTTCACGTTACCTGGTACCCGGTTAGGGCTGGGTTAGACTTGGAGCCACTGTCACTTTTGGAGTAGGAGGAGAAGAGGATGAAAAAAGTCCGGCTGGTTCGCATGTAAACCCACGACCTTCGGATCCGCAGGCGAGCGTTTAACCTCTGTACCACGGCAGCTGCCAGTGGCAATAAATAGTAAATACGAGTAATTAAGTCAAGTATGGGAATTACGGAGCTCGCCACAGCATGTCACATGATGGTATTGAAAGTAACAGGAATATTTGCACCTCACAAGCATATATAGTTCGGAGGTAATGAATGGGAACTTACGTTTCTGGTGTGAAATGTCAATACACCAAATGCAAAAAATCAGTAAAACACATAATTTGTTCATCATCTTGTTTCGTCGGTCGCCAAATAGCTTTGCACACCTCTTGCCTAGCCGGCGATATTTTTATACTGTAAAACCCGGATATCAGTAGCTGCTATCAGTTCTAACCCCAGGCGGAAATTTACAACCTAAAACGCCTTTGCTTGTTTCCATTCCCGCAGATGACATCGTCATAGTGCACTTCCCGTGTGTCATTTGTCCCATGTGATGGTTATCACTCTTATTTATTCAGTACTGCGTGTGACTTTTCATTCCTTTATTTTTCTTTCTCGCATACTTTTTTAGAACCGTCTCCAACTCCCAGCAGAGGGTAGGAGTTCAACTGTGGATGTTTATGTTAGTAGTCTGATGGAGTTTTGCGATCACGATGAAGTGACCTGCCCTTTTTAGATTTGTGATTAATGAAGACTATCATCGCAGCACTTAAAACATCTATGGGAGCTCTAGTCTCCTCCTTGGTAGCTACACAAGCCCAAATAAACTGATCAGCCCCGTTCTATGTTGATTAATCAGACGGCTTGTGCCCTCAGTAAAATATCCATGTCTTGTTGCTCTAGTTTCTACTTCAATGTCCACCAGTCTCGACAGGCATTCTGATTTTGGTTGTAGTCCTCTTTGCATTGTGCCCTCAGTAAAATGTCCATGTCTTGTTGCTCCCGTTTCTACTTCAATGTCCACCAGTCTCGACAGGCATTCTGATTTTGGTTGTAGTCCTCTTTGCGATGCACACCATACATGGCATTTAAGAAATCACTCCTGTCTAGTGCCTGGCCAGTCATTGTAACCACATTGTCCGCCAGATAATCTGCACGCTTTTTACATTAAACATCCTGGCACTAAGGTAGGTAGATACTGAGCCTTTTACGCGCCCTTTTAAATAAAGTCAGAAAATCCACGTGTGGATTCCATCGGTGCTAAAGAAGCACGCTACAGTATCGCGCTGATCGCCTTACTTTCCTAAAACATTCAGACAGAGCTTCCTTGTCTTTTTCTTCGTCTAATTCCTACGTTTTCCCTCGTCCTTTGTTCTTCCTAATGCTTGTGCTACGTAATAACACCTTCCTTTTTTAATGTCACTATCCCTCTACAACTAAATGAATTTCCTCCAGTTATACTGCACTTCTTTTTCTTCTTCTTGTTCACCGGCTGTGAATTCCGGCGGTAAGTCACGGTTGTTCGTCCAAAATGGACTTTTGGCTTTTACCTTGACCTGAGTTTTGCGTGTACATCCGTTTTACTGGCTTATTTGTTTGCAGTACTCGTTCCCCGCCTCTCCGGCAGATGTACTCCGACTTCGGAGGAAGACGTCAAGCCTATTTCTAGGTTGACTGTGGCCATTGTTTTGTGTGGGTCGAGATGTTGCCTTATTTGTGTGGTGTCCTCTTTGACTTTTAACAAGTGTGGCCCCCGGCATGTCGTCCTTAAGGCAGCTCTATGTAGAGTTTTCAACCCTCAAGGGAAGGCAGGGGCAGATCATGGGCATTCCCCGCCATCCAAGGAGGCTTCCATAAATGCAGAGCCGACACATGATGCTCTGGTTCTGGGCTCACCCAAGGAATCGTCACGTCCTGCCCATGACTGCTTAACCTCACAACCGTGTATTGAGCTTCCCGCGCTACAAGGCTGCGCTCACCGGAGAACAGCGGGGGGCAGCCCGCAGGTCTAGGACGTTTGTGGCCACACAAATAGGTACATTCTTTTTCATCTTAGGTTAGACACCTTTAACGTTGTTTCAGCTGTGCCCTTAGCACGACATAATGGGAAGCAAAATGCGTCAGGCGTGGCTTCACCTGTTTGGTCCCAACACTCGGGCGAGTTGGACCAGTGGATACGGACATTCAGACTTTTCCTAATCGGTACGAGTTATGATCGTCGGACTTTGAGCTTGCATGTGTGCCATGGGGTGTAACTTTGTCAGACATTGTTTTCAAGCCAGCATATGAATAGTTGCTGCCATGGTGTACCTCAGCGCGGTGACGACGACACTGAGGATTGACAGAGGATGTACGTAGGTGGGATCTTGCTGCGAGAAGTCGCCCACAAGAGATGTTAACTCGTCTTGGCTGCGGGTAAATCTCTCGGTCAGGGTTGAGTCTCAGCAGCAC